GAGGGAGAAAATTTTAAAATGTCTAAATGCTATTTTGTACAGTTTACATATATATTCAATAAATCTTATTTAATTACCAATTTGTTTTTTTCTGTTTGTGTTTTTATTTAATTAAATTGATATTTGTATTATTAATGTGGAAGTTTTTTCAAATTATTCAAAAAATCTGAATAGTTTATCCAGAAATTATGATTCGAGAGCTGCCGCATTTGGCCGCTAGGTGGTGTCTACTCTAAAATAGAGATGGCGCGAATATGTATCCTGAAATTGTTATATTTTTATCCAATTTTTCTTAATAATAATGACTTGCATTATTAACAGTTTTAAAAATATTGTTCTGCATTCAGTTTTTCTTATAAAAATAATAAAAAAATGTGTATTTTTTTTATTTTCCGCCGTTTTCAAAATATTAAAAATTTAGGGATAATTTATCAAGAAAATCTGCTGTAATTCGCTTTTCCAAAAATTCTTGATTTTTTATTACGTTTTAATATTTACAGTGTGTATCATTTAGTTTGACCTATGGTTTAACATACGATGGTCTTAATTATGTGATATAGATAACATCATAGGAATTGTAACTATGTCAATATCGCGCCCTGTGTAGTGGTGTTAGTTAGTCACGGGATTGTAGCAGTGTGGATTGTGTCCTGGTTGAGACATTGAAGCACTGATACCCTGTGTTGATAATAACTAGGTTGGATCGTCATCATCATTTGGGATCAATATATATATATCTTGTTGATAGGTACACTTGTGTCCCTGAGTGGCATATAGAGCCTGGGATTCTGCCTGGTATAACACTGTATTAGTAGCTGGATTTTGATAGCTATGCTTGTGTCCCTGTGTGGCATTTAGAGCCTGGGATTCAGGCCTGGTTAAGTTTGATAGCTGAGGAATTGTACCTGGTTAGATACATTTCGAGAACTTGTTATAGAGTAGGTGTTTACTACATCTAAACCTTAGCTTGGTTGACAAAATATGAACAATCAACAGCGAAAAATAAGACCCATCCAATTGTATTTAAGCTGATGAAGATTTTAAAAAGTAAAAAAATGTCATTATGGATATTCAGCAGAATACTTCAATTTCTGAATTAGTCTGATTCAGCTGTATAATTTTTCCATTTTTTTTTCTGTGTACAGCCTGAATTTGAGTAGCATACTCCTTCACAAGGTTATACAACCTCATCATAAAGCTAATTTTGTCAAATTTTTTTCAGGTTTATACTCTGGATATATATTCGCAGAATTTAGGTTTTTCTAAATTTCTGATTCTGCTTCATCAAGGTTCATGTATCCTGCAGTAATTTAGAAAAAAACTTTAAGAGATCTCTGTAGTTTATATCCACATTAAGCCAGGTTCTAGGAGCACTCCCTAGGATAAGTATTCCTGCATGTCCCTCTCTGAAAATTTTGATCAAGATTTTACAGTATAGTGTTTCCGATTGAAGTAGGAAAAGGTCGGAGGTTTAGAGGGGTATCGAGAGATCTTGTGCAGAAAATCCCTGTGTTTCCTCTGGTTTACATATTTCCGATGTGTATGCGGAATTAGGATAATTATCACATCATTACCCAGTATCTGCACCGCAAATACAACTAGGGAGGGTTCCAGTTGCTGAGTAAGTTAGGTCAAAAGCTGGATTGATGTAAATGTACTGTCAGTGTGCTTCATAACTCCTACTTCTTTTTAATTCTGCCTCTTTTTGGATTATTCCACTCTTGTTTACATATGGTCTGACTAAGCATTGCAGCATTTCAGGAAACAGCTTTCTCAGCGCCTAGACTTAAAATACAAGGAAAGCTTGGGAAAAAGGTCTTACTCATACCATGGTTTAAGAGCAACTGAAGTTTCAAAATATTATCTATCATTTATGTTTAACCCATCATATACACAGGCAGCCAGGCAACATGTTGATTCTAGAGTTGAAAACACCTTTAAACTAGCTGAAGTTTCAAAATATTATTTATCATTTATTTTTAACCTATCATATACACAGGCAGCCAGGCAACATGTTGATTCTAGAGTTGAAAACACCTTTAAACTAGCTGAAGATTCAAAATACTGCCTGAAACAAAGTGAGTTGAGGAAAGAGCCCCAATTTAACCACTAATCAAAGTGGAGCCTATTCCCAGAGATTTAAAGTTACAGTTACAAAAACTGTCAGATCGATCCCGAAAATATTGTGCATTTTCCAAATTTATAAATATAAAATTAGTGGCAAATTTTTGAAAATTCGATTATCCATAATTCTTTCCTGGGGTCACGTGAGGTCCCACAAAAAGTTTGGGCCCGATTGGTTCAGATGATTAGACGTTTATTGGATAATGTTTTAAAAATCATTTATTAATTTATAGATTTTATATGTACAGACTAAGGTCACCTGTCTGAAAATATGAGAAGGTTCTAAATATAATGTAGCAATTTAATCAATGCATTAAAGAAATTACATTTATCTTCACTCTTCAGTCTACACTGTATAAGGCATTATTTACTATCAGTTGTGAGTTCATCAACAAAAAATATAAACAATTCACCACCACAATCCACCACCACAATCCACCACCACAATCCACCACCACAATCCACCACCACAATCCACCACCACAATCCACCACCACAATTCACCACCACAATCCACCTCCACCACCACAATCCACCACCACAATCCACCACCACAATCCACCACCACAATCCACCACCACGATCCACCACCACAATCCACCACCACAATCCACCACTATAATCCACCACCACAATCCACCACCACAATTCACCTCCACAATCCACCAACACGGTCACCAATGGATTAAAAATATAAATATTGAAGAAGTAATTTTTATTGAAAGAATTTTTGAGGAAATATTCCCGGCCCCCAATTTTAATTTTTGAGGTTTTTAATTATCTCCTCGTCAAAAAATTAATTTCATATTTTTGAAATTATTTAGATTTTATAGATAAATTACTTACTTATACGTACTATTTGAGAAATAACAGAATATTTCAAATATAGCTATTTCAGGTTTTAAACATAAATCTAACATAAACCTAAAACATTTGTTTTTGATTTACCCGAAAAAAAATGTCTTGAATATAAGGGGCAATGATTAAGGAATTGAGTCTTTGCAAAGAAAATTCTGATTTTTTAATTCGAAAATTTTTGCAACATGTTTATGGAAACCATTGATAATTTATGCTTAGATTATTTGATCTAACAGAAATCATAGATTGTAATATCTAAGGTCTAGGAAATTATGCTACAAAGATAAAGGTATTTAAGTTTGTGGCAAAGAATCAAATTCTTTGAAAGAAAGTGTAAAATGTAAGACGACATTTTGCTGGTATTATTCTGAAGAAAGAGCTTACACACTCTCTCTTCATAATAATAGAAACGCTAGCCTAGATTTCCTAAAGAACAAATAACTTGATTCAGCACTAAACACAATAGGTCTAATACATCTATAGAAAAGAGTGAATGTAAGTGTGTGGGGGGGGGAATTATTCTATATTCTATAGAAAAAAGGGAAATTTCTATAAGTTTATAATTTGAACATTTGTTTAATAATTTTGTAATTTACAGCCGAACTATTTTAGAGATACAGGGTGAGTCAAAAAAAGGGTGAATCACTGAATAGCGAGATATTACATGTAATAAAGTATTCTTTTTGGTAATCTCATTTTTGATCAATATTTATGAAATTTTTTAATTTTATTTTTGATGGGCAATCTGAAAGACCCCTTACAAAAAACACCTTTTTTGACACATCCTGTATATGGAGAAAACGAATAACTTAGCGTCCATACAAATTGAGAAAAAATTGCAACATACGACTTAGACCGTAAAAAATCAATTTATTTTCAAACAAATCATTCAGATATTACAACCTATAGTCATCGATTATCTTTCGCCACATTGGTATACAGCTTATATTTTATAATTTTATAATTTTATTTTTCTTGTCGCTTGCGCAACTATCTAAGAATGCCGCGCACCACTCACATTTTTCGAAATCCGTTAAAAACGTTTTTTAAAAATAAAATATAAAAAATTGATTCAAAAATATTATAAAATATAAACTATATACAAATGTTGCGAAATAAGTCGTACGTTGCAATTTTCTGAATTTGTATGGGCGCTAAGTTATTCGGTATGAGACGTCTTTAACAATGTTCTCCTTATAGACGCAACAGATGTAAGATTAGTAGCGATCAAAAGCGCTTCTAAATCGCATAAAGCCTATACCCCCTTTCATTTTTCGCGAATACTTCCTTTAAGTAAAAGAATTTTTATTTACAGTTTTCTGATTTAAAAAAACGATGGTGGTGTTGTTTTGTTTTTCATTTTTTACAAATTCAAAACGAGTGGTTCGTTTGTTGTGACCCATCGTTTTTTTCTAAAAACAATAACATCAAAAACGAAAAACGAAACCAAAAACGATAGTTTTTTCGATCGTTTATAATTACGATTAACAATCATCCAATAAATTAAGTTCTAGATTCTACGGTTTGGGGAACAAAGTAATCCAAAGTGTACATACTCTGAATCTAAAAAGTTGTAGTTTTAAAATTATATAATGCATGTCTAGGCCTACAAAAAAGTATAGGTGAGTAAAGCAGCAATTGCTAAGGGGTTGCGCGACACCTCAAAGTCAACCCGGTCTGGACAGTTGATGCATCATTTTAATAGCTCTTGTAATTCTGTGAGAAAGCGATTCAACTCTGTACAGCCTTTATACCTTCAACTATAATAAACCAGGTGTTTCCAGGTAGAAGAATACTGCTTCAAGATACAGGCAGTTTTACAGGCAGTAGGGTAGACACCAGACTGATAACATTTTTTTCCAATGCTTTTTGTCTCATTGTTAGAGGTAAAAAACTGCAATTAAATTCCAAAGTAAAATAAAGGAATTGAGTCTTTGGCCACAAACTCTAATTTTCAAATCCCTTGGTCTTTTCAACCTGATGGTGTAAACCTTTGATATTTTAACCTGATGGTGTAAACCTTTGATATTTCAACCTGATGGTGTAAACCTTTAATATTTCAACCTGATGGTGTAAACCTTTAATATTTCAACCTGATGGTGTAAACCTTTAATATTTCAACCTGATGGTGTAAACCTTTGATATTTCAACCTGATGGTGAAAACCTTTGATATTTCAAACTTAAATTACGTTATCTCTCAGGATTCATAGTTTGAAATATCTGGGTCTATAACTTTGGGTAGCAAAGTTATAGGTCATATAAAATCAGAGTATGTGGCCAAGACTTAATTCTTTTCTTGTTCCATGAAGTAAAATTAAAGCTGTACAAATTATCATTTTTTGTACTTATGCAAAATAAAAACCAATATGCAAAAAATCTTTCAAAGAGTATCGAGTATCAATCATTAGCAATTTTGATTTTTTTTTTCGTAGCTATTTAAGCACAATGCTTTGTTTTGTGCAAATGCAAAGCAGATTATTTTAAATTCTGAAATAGTGGTTTAATCATAATTTTTTAGTTTAATAGTCTATTCGCATAATAATGATCTAATCAAAAAGATTCATTTTTAATACCGTGATTTAGCAGAAACGAAATAATATTATGCTGAGTTTCAAATATGTACGTTTATAGAAACGCCTAAATTCCTGAAATCTTTTAATTAAAGCAATTTTAAAACAAAAATTAAACAAAATTTGGAAACAAAAAGCTCTGCAGTTTAACTTTATCCTTAAACTTGTCTAGGTGGGGGGGGGGGGATTTTTTTCTGTAAGGATAGTCAGTATGGTGATTTTTTTAATGAAACTATTGGTCTAAAAATTACTAAAAAGCCCTTTAAAGGGAGTTGAGCTCAGACGCAAATTTAATTTTGAAAATCCTCCTATATTGTTAATTTTGGAAGTGGAGGAATGATTTTGAGAAAATTTCGACAGTTTACCAATTAATTGTTTAGGAGAACATATTTCTCAATCGAAATTTATCACAAAATCAATGTTACAATCCATTATTTCTTTTTCATCATTAAATTGAATTTCTTATTCTTTATGAATTTGTTAATTTGTTCGGAGATTTCTTGAAATCCTGCAAATCTCGTGTTTTCAATAAAATTTTAGGCCGGAAATCTATGGAAATGTTTGTGAACGTTGAGACAATATTACAGAAACCAATGACTTTATAGAATTACTTACTTTTGATGATATATATATATATTTTGTCAACCTGTTTCTAAACATCTAATTAGTTTACTGTAGATTTTTTTAAACAGTTTTCGTAGTCGTCACTTTGTAATTAAAAAAAAAACGATTCTCAAAATCAATTCTCCAAATGAACAATCTATGATGATTTTAAAGATGTAATTTGCGCTCTTGCTGAACAAATATGCACCGTAAAAATGCTTGATGGGTCTCAAAAGAATCCTTAACCCTATTCTAAAATTTTGCAAAAATTTTTGCATATTTGAAATGGTATGGTCACGGGCTTTTCAAAAATGTATAATTTTTCATTTTTTGGACAACTTTTTTTTTGCAAACATTTTTACTATATAACTGAATTTTGCTATAAAAAATTCAATTTTTGCAAATTTGCAAATTTTTTTGCAGATTCTAAAAGTAGAGCACAAGAGCTTTCTAATGATGTATCATTTGCCATATTTGGACATCAAACATGGAATTTAGAGGGGGGGTCAAATTGACCCCCCCCAGCATATCCTGGTTTTCAAGTACCCCAGCAGAGATAGGGTTAAAAGTCACTACAATAATGCATTCTCAGCTCAACTCTTGTCTACCCAGACACTCCCTTTAAAATGATTATACAAATATATGCAGTGGTGGATGTTAATATTTTTCTTCATCAAAACTGTTTTCTCTTTGAAAAAAAACTGTTGAATTTGACAGCTACGTCTTTTTCTTCTCCGCGATTTATGCCTCCAATTTTATCGCTTTTTGCATCATTATTTTACACCATCCAACCTCTTCATTCGATTTTTTCAGATTTTGTTGAAATTAGTAATATTTATTTCAGAAAAAGTTTTTTGAAAGAAACATCTTGGGGCATGAGAATTCAGAGCTAGATCATATTGTGATGACAGATCATAAGTAATAAACCATATCTACGTGGGCCCAGGGCAGAATATAAACCCTGTGCCTCTGGGAACCTGGAGATTAATCATGTATTTCGGGGCATATTGCTTATAATAAATTCTAAAAACCTGTAAGTTTGTCGGACTATAAACCCTGTAAACCTGGGACCATGGTGGACTATAAACCCTGTAAACCTGGGACCATGGTGGACTATAATCCCTGTAATCCTGGGAACATGGTGGACTTTAAACCCTGTGATACTGGGAACATGGTATACTATGAACCCTGTGATACTGGGAACATGATGGAGTATAAACCCTGTGATACTGGGAACATGGTGGACTATAAACCCTGTGATACTGGGAACATGGTGGACTATAAACCCTGTGATACTGAGAATATGGTGGACTATAAACCCTGTAAACCTGGGGACACAGTGGACTATAAACCCTGTAAACCTGGGAACATGGTGGATTTTAAACCCTATAAACCTGGGAACATGGTGGACTGTAAACCCTGTGATCCTGGAAGAATGTTTGATTATAAATCTAGTGAACCTGACTCCTTTCAAGAAAACAAAACCTTTGCTTACGAAGCTGCCATAAATTCAAACCATGGCCAAGAGGACATTCCTGATTCACCAGTTCTGAATCAGCCTTTGGCATTAAGGTATTAATAGCAATCTAGATAATTGCTTTTTCTCATTATTTCTACTTTTTCGGCGAACTTATCGACTTCGATTCGTATATCATAACTCAAAGGTAAAAACTAAATTTCACAATTTAAAAAAAAAAATAAGATTTACAAAAGAATTTTTTTTGAGGGCAAAATTTGTCTTATTGTTTGGCGATAAATCTTCCTTTAGGTCATGTGAGATTCAAACATTATTAGGATCAGTTTTTTATATCCGCCGACCCAAAATATTTTCCTAAAAATAAAAAAATAAATAAAATGATGTAATAATGTACATTAGATTTTGTTATTAGAAGCAAAAGAAGTATATCAAAAATCCAATAAAATCCTTAATAAACCATTAAAGTAAGGTATAATGCCTTTTTTGGTGAATTATTGGATATCGTTAAAAATAACAAGGACATTTTATCTCCAAAGAATAATTCTTTTATTTCTTTTTGGCCAAAAAAAGATTATAGATGGTAATGAATATTTTAGAAGTAATTTCCTATAAACAACTAAGTTTCTGTTCAAGTAGAGCTGGGCACGTTTAAACTTCATTTTTCAAGCCGTTCAGTACAAACTAGAGGAGAGAGTGAAATGTATGCAATATCACCTCGAAGCTCCTCTAGTTTTGAATTTTCGCACAATTATAAGAAAATAGAATATTATCTAGTAACATATATTATAAAATCAAAACATTTTTGTCTTCTCATATAGCTCTTGAATATAAAAAGTTATGATGGAAAACATAAAAGATTTCAAATATTACTTCCAATTTATATTAGTTTGATGTGCATTCGTTAACGAATAGTTAAACTCGTTCAATAACCAACTTTCTTAAAGTTTCTGTTTGTAATAAACGATCATAATTTTATTAACAGCGTTAACGTAAGATATTTTATAAATCGTATACGGGGCCAGCCCTGAGAGCTAGATGTTCGGCGATGTGTCCCAAAATAGATATTTTGCATAGAAATTTGAAAATTTCTCAAATAGTCCAAATTTGAGCAAATTTGGGTTAATTACTGATATTGATGCATATTAATGGAGAAATGTATTTCTGAATATTTATATTTTAAACTAAAATTTGCCTCGATTAAAGAATTTTCAATTTTGTCTAAAATGTTGGCTAATTAAAGATTCCTGTCTGGAAATTTATAATTTGGATTTAACCATTTACTATTCTAATAATAATTTCAAATCCAGAGGCAGTCCTTAAAACAGTAAATATTAAGGTTTACTCTGAAAGCGTCGAAATGGCTAACCGGGACCAAATTTTGTGTATAATCTCACATGACCCTAGAAAATGAAGGTTTAAATTAAAAATCTCTCAACATTTTTAATTTAGATTTTTTTAAAAATCCACCAATGGGAACACAAAAATAGTGTATCATAAAATGTAGCCAGAAAAAAAAGCTGTTCTTACAACAAATTCATAAAAAAAGTTTATTTCTTCAAATATATGAATAAAATATATGTATAAATATGAAAAAATATATATTTTCATTTGACAAAGAAATCAATTAGAAACATTATGTTTCATGCTTTGCTAATATTGCTGAAGAAATTGTTTCGAATTTGAGCAAATTTTATATATTTAGAAAATATTTGCTTGGCTTTTCTTTTTCATGATAAAAAATTTCGAAAAACTTATTAAAATTATATTGATTATAGAAGCCTGGTAATTTGATCGTAAGATTGTTATGAATAATCGACTTTTAAGCATTATACAATCCATTGTATACTCAAAAAAAGATCTACCAAGAATATCTTTTTTTTCTGCAAAAGTGTACTGCCGTTTCTGGGAGAAATATAAACAAAACTCTTCCTGATTAACTCTTTGAAAATTGTCCCAGAAGATGCAATAAACTTTTAGGTGTATCTTCCTTAAATAATTCCCCATTTTGAAAATCATTAACAGTCCCTTGAATTAAATAAATCTAATATTTTCAGGAAGCTGGCAATTAGAGGGATGGTAACAAGATCTTTGTACTTATCTAAACCCAACAAATCTTAAAACAATTAAAAACAAACAGAAAAATGTAGATACCCCTTTATTCCTATAATCATTATTCATTATTCCAGTGCTCTAAACGCCCTTTTTCTAAGTTTTTTTAATTTCGTTGTTTTTAAGAACGTTGCTCTCTAATTTTATCTATATATACAATTATACAAAACCATATTTGTGCATACAAATCGTTATTTTGAACTTTTTTGAGACAAAATAAAAAATTGGAACTATTCAGCAGCAAGTGAGTCTCTTTAGTCAAATAAAAAAAACTTTTTTAACTATACATCTTTTTAAAAAAAGACTATTGAATCATTGAAGCACGAGAAAGCTTACAAAGAGCTGAGAGAGAAAAAGAAAGAAAAAAAATCAAAGAGAAAGTAAAAAATTAAGGGATTTTAACAAAGTATTTTAAAATTTTCATCTCACACAGGTTTAGGAGTAAAAATAGAAACAAAAACAAAACAGGAAAATTGTTCTTTATTGCTTCTTTTCTTTCAAAATAGAAACTTTCCTTTGAACAATTTCCAGTTTTAATGTCAGATTTATTTCGCTTGTTAAAGTTCAAAATTTAAAGCCTTTGTGTTGGAAACCGTCCTACATAATATATATGTTTATTACTAGCTGAAGTGCCCGGCGTTGCCCGAGGAATTTTAGAAACAGTTGAAGAAAAAAATTTATAATTTTGAAAAAATCCTCTTTTTCCCCAAGGGTGCTCAAGGGTTCCCCTCAAAAATGTCAGCAAATTTTGTTTAGCAGTTTTGCCAGCATATAGCGAAGAGTTTTATTATATAGATAGATCCACATATATAACTCGAAGCACCGGGTAAAGTTGTCAACAACTTTTGTATAAACGTCATGAAAGCTGATGCAGCAGAGTGTTTCAGAATACTAATTACAGACAGTTTTAGAAAAGTTGCAAAAAAAATTATTTTAGCAAAAAGGATTGATTACTGGATGAAAGCAGAGAATGGGGATTAGACATCATGACTTCTCATCCAGTTTTAATCATCGTATTTGGAAATTTGAAAACATAAAATTTTTGAATTGACCTTATCTTATCACCAAAAATGTTTCGTTATTTTTGACACATTTAAGAAAAGGATCAGAAAGTGTTATCGCTGAAACACGACATAATTAACGTCAAGGTATATGTGTTCTTAGTATACTGAAATATTGTTAAATAACTTTTATTTCCAAGCTATTTCCCAGTAATATCAATGTTTCTCCAAGTTATCTCCAAGTAATTTCTATATTATTTTTAAGTTATCTCTTATTATTAAGTAACATCTAATTTATCTCAAGTTATCAACGATTTATCTAAAAGTTATCTTTTGTTTTCATGTTATCTACAAATTATCTTCAAATTATCTCTAAGTTATCTCCAAGTTATCTCCAAGTTATCTCCAAGTTTTCTAAAAGTTATCTCCAAGTTATCTCCAAGTTTTCTCCAATTTATCTCCAAGTTATCTCCAAGTTATTTCCAAGATATTTCCAAAAGATATCTCCAAGCCATTTTTTAGATGTCCCTTAGTTAACTCCAAGTTATCTCCAAGTTACCTCCATGTTATCTCCAAGTTATATCCAATGATATCTCCAAGTTATTTCAAAGTTATCTCAAATTTATTATAATTTGTTTTGGTTTTTTTTCGATTAAATTATTCCTTAAAGGGAGTGTTCACGAAAAATGTTAAGGGGTATAGGCTTAGGTCGAAAAATATTTGATGGTGATCGCTACGAATCTTATTGTAGCGCCTTTAAGGAGAAAATTGTAAAAATGACTCATGCCAAAGAACATAGCGTCCATACAAATTCAGAAAAATGTAATATTTGACTCGGATCGTAAAAAAATGATTTTAACTCCAAAAAAATCATTCAGATATTACAACCTATAATCATCGACTTTCTGAATTTGTATGGACGCTACCTTCTTCGGTATCAGTATTCAATATCAAGATGATTTTGATTTTAAATAGCTATGTTTAAAAAATTTATATTTATGTTTATGTTGCGTCTGATGATGGTAAAATGTTAAACATATGGATTTAATTATTTTGACAGTGATTTTAATTTATTTTTTGCCGTATATGCGTTTATAACTGAGTTCAATCGTGCAGAGGGTATTTTTAGAAGGGGGGGGGGGGGGGGACATACAAATACATATTGTTATGCTGTATTCAAGAAATTCATATAGCAGAGGATCGGTTTTCACCTTAAATCGAACAAGGAATCCTGAGCCCGCGATTTAAAAGCTTCTGCTCGAGTCGTAATTCCTTAAACCCAACTTTAAGACCCAATCTTCGACCCAACTCTAACGACAGTTTGTGTCACGTGATTGACAGCTGCAAGATCTTCGGCTCGATTTAAGGAGTTAGGCCCAATGAAAATAAAACCGACCTTGATTGATTTTAGTGTGTAGAATAAGGCTCAATGATGCGTCTTGTTCTCATAAAAACTGGGAATGCGCCAATTCCTACCATGAAAATCCGCCAAATAGAATATTAAACCGGTTTTTTGAATTCAACTCTGTGGAAAATAAGATGCAGCATTAATCCGAAAGCTCAAGCCGTAAATAAGGTCCAACGACAGCTTAGACCCGAGCCGTATTTCCCCGAATTTTTTAAATCGCGAGCTTTGGAAGAAAAAGAAGAAAATACGGGAAAAGATACTTGCTGGTGTAAATCCAGTAGTTATCCAACCTGCATCAATATGCCCTCCTCATAGTAGTTCATTACTTGCAAATATATTTCTAATAAATGTTAGATTTGTCTTATCTAACTTACTTCTAAAATGTCTTTGTTTACATAAAAAGTGTACTGCAGTTTGCTTGTATATATACAAACTCGGTGCTGCTCAGGCCTGAGAAATATGAAAATATTCTCTGCTCAGGCCGTGTTTTTTTCTGCAGTCCACTTTTTCAGCAAAAAAATATGTATGCGTCTCTAAAGTGAAAATGTTGATAATTGTATAAAAACCTGGTAGATATGTTTTAATAAACCATCTTTATTTATTTTTTTATGTTTTGTACACAAAATACACAATAATAAATTGTATTGTGTAAATGTATTGTTTTATATTAGTGCAACTGAAAGTACGTGAACAGAGTTAACCCACAAAGATGAGTCTTTAGAGCCCAAAACTTAAGACACGGTATCGTTCTGAAAACCAGTTTTAAAACCCGGGTTTCACGAATGGGGTAACGCAGATTTGTGGATATCAATATTTTTGTTATACAATATTATATTTCATTTAGTCTCTTCATATTCTCCATTTTCTTCGAATCTCTTAAATCAAATCTACAAAATGTTAAGACCCGAAAAAGGAAACTCGAGAGTTTTGTTAAACGATACTCTTTAAAATTGCGGACTCAGAGACAACTGTACGGAGGCCGAATTTAAAGAATTTGAGCCGCGGCTCAAATATGGTTGGTTTCATTTGAAATTGTATTAAATTTTCAAGATTTAAGCCGGTGCTCACTTGAAACCAGTTTTTGGGGAATTTGAGACGCGGCTTAAATTCATTAAATTCGGACACGGAATTTATACTGTCTGTTTTCTTCTATTTCAAGTCGTCTTTACAGTCTCATCCTTATTGGGTAACCCTGCACATACATCATTTTTTGTATTTGATAATATTGTATAATAATATATTTTTGTTGTTGTGTGTTCCATGTTAATTAAATGAATGAGTGTTGTTCTTTCTGTCAATTTGTTTGTATACTAACTACTAGTACGTGAGAGGAGGTGAATATAATCATAAGTTAGGAAAGTTTGGAGTAAATGAGTTCCGAGTGATATAGGTGTGTAAGTAGTGAGTGAATTGTTTGAGTGCGTGAGTGTGAGTTGGTGAGTTAGTGACAGTGTGAGTGCGTTATTAAGTGAGTCAGTAGTGAATGAGTGAGCGATCGAGGTAGTGAGTGATAGAGGGAGTGAGTCAGTGAGTGATTAAGTTGGTGAGTGAATGAATGAATGAGTGAGTGAAAGGATGAATGATCTGAGTGAATGTGAAGTGAGTGTGTGAGTGTGTAAGGGTACCTGTATGTGTGTCTTCTTCAACAATATTGATTGAGAAAGCTGAAATAAATCTAGGAGAGTATGCGGTATAGGGTCATGAGACTGTATAAGGGTCATGAAGGGTCAGAAGAATGTATTTATAGGGTCATGAAGGGTCAGATGACTGAATAAGGGTCATCAAGGGCCATGAGACTGTATAAGGGTCATCAAGGGTCATTAGACTGTAAAAGGGTCATCAAGGGTCATGAGACTGTGTAAAAGGGAGGTCATTTATTTTTCTAAAAATACCGTACACATATATGTCAAATGTTCCTCCATTTATTAAGTGATGTCCGTTCACAAGGGTACTCTTCATGGCTTTGTCTGATATAGTATGAATTAAATATCCATATTTTTCTGTTTTAAAACTGATTTATTTAATTGCAGTTTTTAAACATAAGGCACCTGTGAATCGCTCATCCCCTCGATTAAGGGTTACTTGGAATTAAAAACCTCTTTGTATTATTAGTTTATCTTGTAGATCTAAGTGTGGAATTCAAGAGTTGATTTACCTCTATTTTACAAAGTTCCAAACCTTCACCTTCAAAATATTTGTGAAGGTACACAAGTTATGTTATTTAACTTATTTCTCATAACCTGTATCCCAATCATCTCATTTGTTTCAAGATTTCAGATAAATTATGCTGTGAAAAATGTTAAAGTTTACTTGAGCTACCCTAACTGTGCACAATTGAGACAGTGTCCCCAACTGTTCTAACAGAGAGAGAGAGAGAGAGAGAGAGAGAGAGAGAGAGAGAGAGAAGTGGAGACCAACAAACCCGGAGGTTTCTCCCCGGAGCTCCGCTAGCGTTTAGTCCTACCCAGAGTAGTTCCTAAACCAGCTGCGTCGTTTTCACGTCTACGATAATAATGAATTACTAACACAGTGGCCCTGGGCCCCCTCCAGGCCGTTATCATGGGTTGCGCCATGAGTGCAGAGGAGCGCGCTTCCCGTGCACGGAGCAAGCAGATTGAGAAGAACTTGAAAGAGGATGGAATACAGGCTGCTAAAGATATAAAACTGCTTCTACTAGGTAAGATATTTATCGATATTACAGGAGTTGTAGAATTATGAGAAAGCTTGAGATATATATATATATATCTATATGTAGAGTGTAGAGTGTATACTTTATATATATACTGGATAGTGGATATGCATTATATTCATACACATATCGATTCATAGTAAAGGCTTTATTTTTGTTGAAATATTAATGAATCATATCCTTATATTTAAAATTCCTGTTTCCTGGTCCCATAATTTAAAGTTTCTGTTTCCTGAGTCCTTAAGTTTAAAGTTCTGGGTTCCTGGTCCATAGTTTTAAGTACTGGGTTCCTGGTCCCTAGTTTAAAGTTATAGGTTCCCAAATCTACTTTAGATTATTGGCTTCCTAGTCCCTAGTGTTTAAAGTATTAGGTTCCTGGTCCCTAGTTTAAAGTTCTAGGTTCCTAGATCTAGTTTAGAGTATTGGGTTCCTAGTCCTTAGTGTTTAAAGTACTGGGTTCCTGGTCCCTAGTTTAAATTTATGGGTTCCCCGTCCTTAGTGTTTAAAGTACTGGGTTCCTGGTCCCTAGTTTAAAGCCCTGGGTTCCTGGTCCCTAGTTTAAAGCCCTGGGTTCCTGGTCTATTCTTTAAAGTTACTGTTTCCTGCTCCCTAGTTTAAAATTCTGGATTCCTGGTTCCTAATCTGAAGTTCCGGGATCCTTGCCTATAGATTAGAGTTCAGGTTACCTAGTCCTTAGTTGTTCCGGGTTTTTGATCAGAGTTCTGGGTTTCCAGTCCCTGGTTGTTCCGGGTTCCTGGACCTTAAAATAAACATTCTTTCCAAATTTTCCTTTTTATCTTGGGTTTCGTCCCAAACTGCCTCTATGGCCTTTTCTTTTTATTAAAAAGCTTAGGAGAGTTTAAAGTAAGTTATATATATCGAGGAAATATTTATATATTAGTCAAAACTAATTCCAAGTTCAAACTGAACTTCTAAGTTTTGCCAGAAATTCCTTTAGAAAAATTTAAAACGAGTAAATATTCTAGGTATAATAAATTAAGTTTTCCAGCTGTGTATAAATCAAAATCAAAGGATACCATAATTACACGATATATATCTAATTAAAATGTAATTTAATTAATTAAGTGTAATTTACGATATTTTCATATTTCAAGTATTTTTTTTATTTATTCTACGAAGTTGATTTAATGTTTTTTTTTGTCCTGTTTTCTTTGTTTGCATAAGTAGAAGTGATAAGGATTACTTATTACCCGTGGGAACCTATAATGATAGCCCTGAAGAGACAATGTTTAAACAATTCACAATTAAAAATACAGATGTGCAGCGATTTTTTTGGTTTTGTTTTACTGCGAGAGCCTCCTAATAGAATCTGAGATATTTCAAATATATTTAAAAATTGTATTTTCTATAAATTTTGCTTTTATTACATTGTTCAATATTTTTATAGTTTTAATTTTCATTTTTTGAGTAAAAATTTTATTAAACGTCTCAAAATCTTATAAGTAAAATGAAAATAGAATTTTTTTCAGAGTCAAATATACGATACCTATCTATACTTATAAAACTTAAAGGGACTTTTGTTTCAATTGTGTTAACTTCCTCAATTGTGTCTGTAGATCTCCATTTCGCAAGAAGAGAAACCCCAATCAATTTTCAAAGTTGAAAACACGGAATTCTCTTTCATTTTTAACCATACAAAGCTATTGTTGTGAATTAATAATTACCACTTTTTAAAAAGCGGACCATAGGTAAATACAAGGATAGTCCCTTTAAGTATAGTTTTCTCCGTGAATTTGATATATCTATTTGTTTTAAGATTTTGTTTATATTCTCACTAAATACAACTGTGCATCTTTAGACATGAGGAAAATGCCGCAACAAATTACGTATTAGATACATTCTAATTCTGATGCAGAATTTCCCAGATTCTTAAGATAAAGACGACTCAGGGGCGTAGACAGGATTTAGTCTAGGTTGCAACCGGTTGTGGTAAAAACATGCTAAACCCCCCATATTTTTGGCCCCCCCCCCCCCCCCCCATCCCATTATTAACTTGACAAGTCAATCGTTGGGTTTTCTTAAGAGGGGAGAAAAAAAACAATTAAGTTAATGTCTGTTTGTTATACTAAATATCAAACTAAAAAGTCACACACAAAAAGACCTAGTCATTTACGAACACTATGCATCAACAACTAAAACTGAGACTACATTTAATTTTCGTCAGGCCTTGGCAAACCACTTATACTTTGTAGCATTCCGAATCCGTGATATGAAGATTTCAAAGTTGAAAAAAGGCTTGTTACCTTCAGATAGAGTTTTAAAGGGCAACGTTGTGAATTAACACTAGAGCTTCAGTAGAATTGTAAATATTTCCATTTACTGATAGCGCCGATTGAAAGATTCATATCTCTAATTGGATAATGAGATGAATAGAAAGATAAATGTTACCACAGTACTTTTTCTATTGGTTCAGAATAGACAACAAACACATGACTGAACCCTGATTGGATCAGGCGCTAATGGACTCGGCATACAGGAGTGCTAAAACTGGAGGTACACTTAAAATGGCGTCAATAGGCTCTTCAATGATTATATTGGTTTTAGGGGCGTATTCAGGAATTTGTCCGAGGGGGGGGGGCTTAATTTTATTTTCTTTCCAGAAGGGGGTATCAGCACCCCTTTGGGCCTGAAAACCCCCTGAAATCAATAGATTTCACTGGTCCAGGGGTCGGGCTTGGCCCCATAGCCCCCCCCCCCTGAATACGCTTCTGATTAGTTTGAATAATTTTTAACAAACGGATTAAAAAACTACAAAGTGCCCAGTCCTAGCTGTCAATTTGAAGGTGTATGATAAAGTAAACTATGTATTGGGACTGATTGTAGAACACTCAATCTATGTAAGAATATTTAAGGTGGCTTGACTATAGGTATGGGGGATAAGGGTTGTGAACATTTTTAACTGGTGACTTATTTTGACGGCTACGGAACTGGTTTAAGTTAAATAAACATCAGTATGCAAGCCCGGTATTTGTTTACAATCTTCGTTATTGTTTTGAAAACGCCAGTTCCTCGCAATATTCACAGTCAAATGTGTACACAGACCCTACCCCCCAACACCCCCTATCTACCTTTAGTATGCCTAATTTGGGAATATTAAAGATGGCGGCCTGCCAATTAGTTTTCATGTCAAACTGAACGCATACTCAATAAGCAAGATCCTGCTTACTCCCAATTAGATGTATTATTGTATAACGAACTAATAAGGAATTTTCAAGGGACCGTTAACGTATTTTTAAGTGTCTCTGAACTCATTGAGTGGTAAGTACGATTCACAATGGTACCTTCCACTTAATTACTTTGTATAACCAAGAAAGCATCCTTTTCTCAGTAAATTAATTATTTTCAATTGTGGATTTTTCATATAAAGCTTCTTGTGCATTTATTCTCCAGAACCAATTCTGGAAAATTCAATAAGAGAACCTTCATGAAAGATTATCTAAAAATCCTATAAATAGTTTTGTTGTGCTGTCTTGTTAAGTTGTTTTTACAAACAACGTTCATCTCTTTTCAACATTTTCTCAAAATTTACATGATCAGGCCGTGTATATTTGTACTTTTCAAATTTACAACTTGCTATAATTCTACATATTGTACCATGGTTAGAAATAACCGTTGTCAATCGGACATGTCACTCTTTGCAGGGTTATTTGAAATTACGTTTTGATAGTACATATTGTACCAGGGTTAGAATTAACAAAAACTTTAATTAAAAAAACTTTTAAAATAAATTTAGAAACGGAGATGTTATTAGAGAGTGCACTTCAGAAGTTCAAGAAATATGAAGAACTTAATTATAAACTTTTTTAAAGGGATTATGCATGTAATTTTATGTAACCCACTTCATTAAAAAAATCCCATGCCCAATTTACCCTTTAAACCTTTAACTAAGTAAAAATGGTGACGTAAATGGTGTCGTTAAGCATTTGAAATGCCACTCTTTTTAAATGCAGAATTACTTGAAATTGCGACTGTGTCTCTTTAAGGATTATAATAATATAATATAGTTCGTTTTCTCGTCAAATGCTTTTATTAAGTCCATAATTAACAATATTTAGAACTTTGTTTGTATAACACCATATACCCTACACATACACTACAACAACATGCCATATCTTAACTACAATGCAGATACCAAATAAGAGAATGACCCCCGCCCCTTAGCCCCTGGCTCCCTCCTTTCCTTCAATCTGCAATGTATACTGCAGAATCTACGAATATTATTGTGACATTTTCAAAAACGACTGGAAAAACGACTGGAAAAAACGTTTCTCTATTTTTTATCTTCTTCTATCTATATAATTTCCTTGTCTGTCTGTTTGTTTGTATCCAATAAACTTCATAACGGCTGAACCGAATGGGCCCAAATTTTGTGTGGCACATCACGTGACCCCAGGGAAGGTTTATGGATAATAGAAATTTCAAAAATTTGCCTCCAACAATATTCGATTTACATAAAATTTTGCAAAGTTATTCTGAATTTTATTTTTTTTCTCGATCGTTTTTCGAATTAATCATATTCTCCAGGATTTTTTGGAAATTATCGATTCACTTCAGAGAATCAAAATAGTTTCTACCTTTTTACTCCTACGTACGTTGTTATTTTACCATAATCCCCACTATACTAGTTGAAAAGTAAGATTTTACAAAATTGAAATTAATAGGTTTCTCTTCTTTTACTCCTACGTTTTAAATTTCAATCATATACTTCAAGATTTTAAAAATGTATTTTCAAATTTCACAAAATGATAATCTGTTTCTCTTTTTTAACTCCTAGGTTTTCATTTTAATAATGTATTCTTCAATTCGTTCCTCCGCGGCTTTCTACACACCATTTTTGATCCTCCACTTGAATAAGCTCTGAAATTATTCAAATTAACTCCCCACAAATAAATCCATACTCAACCCCCCCCCTCTCCTCACTTCCCCCCTCGCCTTACTTTCACCCCCATAAGGTTGGTCTTACTAACAGTGATCGATCACTTATTAAATTAACGATTGGAATTGTCCGTTGAACGATCACAGCGTTGGGAAAATTAACGAATGCAGTAAGATAATTAAACTTTGGATGGATGACTACACTTTCCAGGTAATGATCATAATTCAACTCCCCCCCTTTACTTTTGCCCCCCACCCCTGTCCCTCTACTCTTCCCACTCCCAAGTTAGAAGAAATGTCAAGATTCTTATCTGAAGAAGGATAAAGATAAGACTCATCAACTCCTCTCTAACACTGAATAAAAGTAAACAAACCAATGTACTACCCTCCTAATGCCCCCCCCCTATCTCAAGGACAAAAAATTACTCCCTTGACACCCCCCCCCCCTTTAACCTCCCTTACATGATTTTGACTTTTTTAGAAACAGTTATATAAGAAAATATTCAGATTAATTATTTTGTTCTTCTAAGGTTTAAATATTCATTAATTCTATAGAGGTTGGAGATTTAAAGTTAGGGAAGAAAAAATCCGATTATAAAACTATTCTGTTCATACTTATACAGGGTTGACAGTCAAAGACGACTTGAAGATCATCTTTGAATTCCGGTTTGCGGCATGTATTCATCAAAATAATAAGGATTACTCTAGTATGCCGAGTCCATAAGCGTCTGATCCAATCAGGGTTCAGTCATGTGTTTGTTGTCTTTTCTGAACCAATAGAAATAGTATGGCGGTAACATATATCTTTCTATCTAGTCCCTTATCCAGTCAGAGACAAGATATAAATCCTTATATCGGCGCTACAACAGTAAATGGAAATATTTACTTTTACTTAAACTATAGACATAAAATAAACCTCTTGGTAATTTAAAATTTGCAAAAAGTGATCTTATTTTTTATGTGCAACTGACATGTTTCTTGAGTCTTCCTGTTGCTGAGTATCTACTAAATCATTTATAAAGTCAGCTAAATGAACACAAATACAAGTTTTCCGAAAGGCTTAGGAGGTTAGGAAATTCTTCAAATTTTGATTCTGAAGTCTGTTATACTAAAAATATAGTCGACACTCCAAACGAAAATTCTTGAGGTCTCTGTTCTGCTATTATACAGGGTATCAAGATACTAAGTGGAATTTGACCTACTGCCTTCTACAATCTACATGTTCGTAAATATTGCAATCCCCCCCCCCCCTTCACCCCTCCACAAAGTTTTAAAATTCCTACTTAATAAAAGAATAAAGATATAGTTTCTTTAATATTTAATTCATCATCATAGTTTTAATTTCTCAAATCGAATTAAAATCAAAATTTTCTTTTTATCCAAGAAGGCTGAAATTTTAAACCATCTAAACATAATGAATTAGTTGATTTATTCTGGGTTAGCTTAACAACATTGCGCACTCATAACTCCTTAACTAAGAATCCCAGACGGAACTGTGTATTAACCGTAGATAAAGATATAATGTAGTAATGTACTGTACGGTCAGGAAATAATTATACACCATGTTTGTTTAATTCTATATATCTATTTATCTATCTATCTATCATTCATCTTTCCATCTATAAATATCTATCTATCTATCAATCTTTCTATGTATCTCTCCACCTATCTATCTATCTATCTATCTATCTATCTATCTATCTATCTATCTATCTATCTATCTATCTATCTATCTATCTATCTATCTATCTATCTATCTATCTATCTATCTATCTATCTATCTATCTATCTATCTATCTTTCTATCTATCTATCTATTTTTCTAGGGGCTGGAGAATCTGGAAAAAGTACAATAGTGAAGCAGATGAAAATTATTCATGAAAGTGGATTTACAAGCGAGGATTTCAAGCAGTATAGGTAAATAAACATATGCATTCAAACTGGTTTTTTTTTGAGCGCTTCGTGCCCCTCTTCATTGTAGGGTTTCTATCCCCAGTGTATTTTACTTTCGCGCAGTTGAGAACCCTGTAAACTCCACGCAATTCCAAGCAATTCCGCACAATTTTGCGCATTTCCAGAACAGTTGCGCACAATTTCGCGCAACGGAATTCAGACTGTAAACCCCAGATAGAATGTTAAGTACAATAGATGGCAACGTAGAATTTTTACACTCTCAGTACAGTTGTATTCTGTCGTCACAAGCGTCAATTCAGTTTTTGTGTCCTTCAAAATTATCAATAATTGTGATCATTTTAGAATAAAGTGCCTTTCTTACAGTAAAAAAGTGCAATGTTATGTGTTCTTAAGTCTCTGTTTTTACACTTTTTGATTAATCTTGGAAAACATGTCAACTAATGTGAGACAATTTCGTTTTCCTTGTTATATTTGACACCTGTGACGTTGTGTATAATAATTGGTTCATTTCTCTGTCGCCACCTATTGTAATTGATAATCTATTTGGTAAACCCTACTTTGGTGTAATAAATTTTGCTTTCTATAATTTATTTTAAATCCGACATTTTCTCCGTATATATTTTTAATCGCAAAAAAAATGTCTCAGATTTTCTTTTTTTTCGGTGAATTTTCAATAATTTAATTTTATAACTCAGCTGTGATAATTTAATTAAAGTCTGAATTACTCTGAAAAATAAGTTTTATAATTGTACTCTAGCTTTGTCCTTCATCTCATACCCTGATTAATACAGGTTCTCTTAAATATTTCATAAACTCTTATCCTCTGATTAACTCCCACCTTCTCTACCAACCCACTCCCACCTTCCCGACCAACCCACTCCCACCTTCTCTACCAAACCACTCCCAACTTCACAACCAACCCACTTCTACCTTCCCTACCAACCAACTCTCACCTTCACTACCAACTCACTCCCATCATCCCACTCCGATCTTCCCTACCAACCCACTCCCACCTTCCCCACCAAGCCACTCCCACCTTCCATACCAACCCACTTCCACCTTCCATACCAACCCACTCCCACCTTCCATACCAACCTACTCCCACCTTACATACCAACCTACTCCCACCTTTACCACAAACCAACTCCCACTTCACTAACCTACTCCTACCTTCACTAACTACCCACTCACACCAAACAACTCCCACAAACCCACCCCTATCTTATCTCCACCCTCCACCCACCAACCCACTCCCACCTTTTCCTCCGTCCAAATTCCACTTTTGGTCTACACAATTCCCGTGTCTCATGTTCTTTGGACTAATAAAAGTGATAACTTGAGTCGAAAAGTCGTCTTTCTATTCCAGAGTTTTACGGTTCTGACTGTACAATTGCATTGTACACTGTACCCTGTAGAGTAAAAATACTAGTCGTAAAAGTTTAATAGCATGGATCCTAAAACATAATTACAAATCCATAATTCTTCAAAACACATGTGCTGCAAATGTATAGCTTCTAATTAAAACTTTCATTAATAATGATTTAGTAATAATTAAATATTAATAATACTCCAGACCTGTTGTGTACTCGAACACCATCCAGTCCCTGGTTGCTATTCTCAGGGCCATGCCCAACCTGAACATCAGCTTTACCAACAACGAGAGAGAAGCAGACGCCAAGATGGTGATGGATGTGGTAGGTTTATTTACAGATTCATAATTTTTTTTCTTCCTTTTTTAGTATTATTAATATTATTTTATTGGACTGGTCGTTCTCTTGTATCTATTATTACCCTATCACGTCATTGTCTGTCCAATTCTGTTTCCTTGTCCTATAGTCTGTCATATCCTGTCCTAGCTTGCCTGTCCTAACCTCTGTCAATAGTTCGTAAAATCCGTCCTTAATTCTGTCCTACTTTCTTGTCCCATTCCATAAAATCCTCTTTATTTCTATGCTATTCTATCCTATTCTATCCTATTCTATACTGTTCTATCCTATTCCACCCTATTCCATCCTAATCTATGCTATTCTATCCTATTCTATCCTATTCTATACTGTTCTATCCTATTCCACCCTAACCCATCCTAATCTATCCTATTCTATCCTATTATATCCTATTCTATCCTGTATTAGTGTTGTTACAGTTTATTACACTGTTTATTGATTAGACTAAGCTAAGGTACAATGGCTTAAACAAATATATATATATATAAATATACACAGGCAAAGTATAGTGCCATACCTAGTGCTATATATATATATATATATATATATAACACTGAACAAATAAATGTTCAGATGTATGAAGTAATAAATACAAATATAGGCCGGGGTGTTCTTTTGGATATTTTTTAATATAATTTTTTTTGTTTATTTAGCCCTCACGCAGATTTAAACGTTCGGTCCTGATTAAATGAAGCTGTGACTTTCGATCCCAATTTTAATTATTAAACATATCTTTTTCATAAACACTTTTTTCCCGGCTGATGCGTTTTAAACGAAAAAGTGAGTAATTAAAAATCGTTGAACCTTAAACCAAAATTCAATTAATTTCAAATTAAAGTACCCGGCCCTGGTTAGTCCAGGGTGCCATCAAATCGAATTAACCTGCTCAAAAAAAGATTAGTTTTGCCTATTTGTTTTATGCCTAAAAGCTACAATTTAAATTACTGATATTTTACATAAAATGTACGAGAATTAATACAGGAAAAGATACAGACATGTACACTTATTAAATTTATAAATAGAAATAAAGCATTAGAACTATAATGAACCATATCATTATTTGAAGTAAACCTGACCTTTCCCTACCAATTACTGATAATTTGTTTCCTGTCTTAAACTCATAAATAATTTTAAACCTGAGCTCAAGTTTGATTGAACTACAGTCTGCAAGGGTGTAAGTTTACAAAATTGCTGATTCTACTCTTTTCTTCAATTCATGATATAAACAAGTTTACAAATATATCAAAATTTGTAACATTTTCTGTAAAGGGTTATCCAAAAAGGATGAGACTGTAAAGACAACTTAAAACGCTTCAAACATGACGATTCCAACCAAGTGAAAATTATGTTTCCCGCCGCCTTAAATAAAGTCTTTAAATGGCAGTAAAAATTCCGTATAGTCGTCTCTCTAAAATCTCATCCTTTGGGGGTAAACCTGTTCATCTGCTATGGTGTACCTGGGTGTAAACCTGTTCATCTACTATGGTCTATCTGGGGGTAAACCTGTTCATCTACTATGGTGTATCTGGGGTTAAACCTGTTCATCTACTATGGTGTATCTGGGGTTAAACCTGTTCATCTACTATGTTGTATCTGGGGGTAAACCTGTTCATCTACTATGGTGTATCTGGGGTTAAACCTGTTCATTTACTATGGTGTATCTGGGGGTAAACCTGTTCATCTACTATGGTGTATCTGGGGGTAAACCTGTTCATCTACTATGGCGTATCTGGGGTTAAACCTGTTCATCTACCATGGTGTATCTGGGGGTAAACCTGTTCATCTACTATGGCGTATCTGGGGTTAAACCTGTTCATCTACCATGGTGTATCTGGGGTTAAACCTGTTCATCTACTATGGTGTATCTGGGGGTAAACCTGTTCATCTACTATGGTGTATCTGGGGGTAAACCTGTTCATCTACTATGGTCTATCTGGGGGTAAACCTGTTCATCTACTATGGTGTATCTGGGGGTAAACCTGTTCATCTTCTATGGTGTATCTGGGGTTAAACCGGTTCATCTACTATGGTGTATCTGGGGTTAAACCTGTTCATCTACTATGGTGTATCTGGGAGTAAACCTGTTCATCTACTATGGTGTATCTGGGGTTAAACCTGTTCATCTACTATGGTGTATCTGGGGGTAAACCTGTTCATCTACTATGGTGTATCTGGAGGTAAACCTGTTCATATACATATGGTCTATCTGGGGGTAAACCTGTGCGTCTATTATGGTCTATCTGGGGCTAAACCTATTCATCTACTATGGTCTATCTGGGGGCAAACCTGTTCATATACATATCGTCTATCTGGGGTTAAACCTGTTCATCTACTATGGTATATCTGGGTGTATACCTGTTCATCTACTCTGGTCTATCTGGGGGTAAACCTGTTCATATACTATGGTGTATCTGGGGGTAAACCTGTTCATCTACTATGGTCTATCTGGGGGTAAACCTGTGCGTCTATTATGGTCTATCTGGGGCTAAACCTGATCATCTACTATGGTCTATCTGGGGTTAAACCTGTTCATCTACTATGGTCTATCTGGGGGTAAACCTGTTCATCTACTATGGTCTATCTGGGGTTAAACCTGTTCATATACTATGGTCTATCTGGGGGTAAACCTGTTCAAATACATATGGCCTATCTGGGGGTAAACCTGTTCATCTACATATGGTCTATCTGGGGGTAAACCTATTCATCTACTATGGTCTATCGAGAAAAAAATAAACCATCAAAGCAATTTTTAAGACGCCAATTGAAAGAACTAAAAGCTACTTTAAAAATACGGAATTGCTTTGCTCACTAAAGATTAAGTCATATGGTCTTGAGTTAAACAAATTAATCATTTAAAATCAAACCCCATTTTTTTACCATTAAAAATTGATAATTAAAAAATGCTCAATCAATTATTTGATTTTTGGATTAGAACTTATTAAATTCAAAGATTCTAATTTGCCATAAAAGTTTTAAATGTAATGTAAAATTTTTTTAATTTACATTATATGTTTAAGATCAAGGACGATAATTTTGTTGTCTTTTAACTCTCATGTTTAGTGTGACACACTTTCTTCTCTTTTCTAATAAAGATAGTTAGTTAGTTTTTGAAGAAACTAAACTATCATGGCGCTAGCGCCCACCTTCTATTTCCGCTATTAACTGTTGCTCAATCTTTCAGCATTTTCTCGATTTGATAAAATAATAATAAAAATGTTGCGGATTTACAATTTTTGTGGATTTTAAAAAATTGAAGAAAACATTCCCTGGAGTCTAAAAAGGTCCCACACAAAATTTGGGCCCGATCTGTTTAGCAGATTTAACGTTTATTGATCAACTACAAACATGACAACAGACACCCAAGCAAAGTATAAATATAAATGTAATTCCTCTGACGTAAAACATGGAGATTTCATTCATCTCTATATATACATATATATATATATACATGAGGAAGAAAGATCTTTTTTTGTTGTTGATTCAATTGCATGCATAACCAATCTCTGACAGGGTTCTTCTTATTTATATCCAAGTAATCGAATTTCTTTCTCCTTTTTATTCTGTTACGTTACATGAATGCTGCGTATTTGGTTTCAGCAGACAAGATTATTTAAGAAATGTGTAGAGCATTCAAATTTTTCTAATCCCTCTATCTTTGTAACCTGCCTGGTGGAGTAACACTTTTATATTTTAATCTTTGATGATTTAATCGAACAGAATTCATAGTTTAAAATAACTGAGGTCTACACCATTGGGTTGCAATAATATAGGGATTATAGAAACAAAAATTGCGTCGACTCAATTCCTTTATGAGAAAATACTGGTACGATATTGTGAACTCATATCTTATCCAGTTTTGATTTTACGCCCAATAGTGAGCTAGAGATACATACTTATTTCATCTGGGAACTTTTGAATGATGGATATCGGGATTAATTCTTGATCCACTCTTTTTCTTAATCTCGAGATTAAATAATGCTTGTTCTCCTCATGTTATTAATCTATAGATTAATTAACCGATCGGGATTAAGGATATTCCATTATAAAGTTGCGGAGTAATTAAATATCTGATATCCCGTTGAAGAGATGAAACATTGATACTCAAATTTAAAAGTGCCAACATTGGATATCGAGATCAAGTGTTCAAGACTAATGATACTTCACACAGAAGTTCCGATCTTCGGTTGTATATTAGAAATTTAACTTGCCTCATTTCAAAAGATCTTCAAAAAAAGAGTTTTTATTGCAAAAATGTAAGATTTCAAACTTAGTGAAATATACTTAAAGAAATTAAAATCTTTATATATATATATATCTTTACAACCCAATGTCGAAGACCCTTAGATATTTCAAACTATGAATTCTGTTAGATCAAATATTCTAAGTTTGAAATATCAAAGGTCTAAACTATCAGGTTGTTAATATAGAGAGTTTGTGGCAAATACTCAATTTTTTGGCGTTAGAGTTTTGAAGAAAAATCATATTATTTTCTTTAAAAAAATTATTTTATAAGATAACGCCATAGAGTAAATAACAGTTTTAGAGCAATTGTTATCCAACAATTATTAGTGTACCTGTTTTGGTCAAAAAAGTAAAAACAAATTTTGTTTTTTTCTCGATATACATTAGTATTTGTACTTTCTCACTATGTTTATATTTGATATAGCTAGGCTATAATCTAATAAAGTATAATGTATAGATGTAATGTAACAGATCCAACTTTGTCTTATTATTTATTATTCAAAAGATAAATTATATACCATTTCAGAACGTTTCAATTATAATTAAAATTAATTATAGCAAGAATCAGAAACTCAGGAATAGGAAGACGACTTTTAAAATAAAAAAACATGGAACACTTCAATTGTGCAGTATAAACAGACCAATTTCACTTAATGATGATTTAATTACTTACCACAGTAAATTAATTTGCCTTGTAATAACATTAAATACACTTAGGTATTGCTTTATTAATATCTTCTCATTCTACAGTTTCTGATTGACGTCACAATTTTAATCCAGATTATTTCTTTGAGCATGCATCAATGTTCTATTACAATATTTGTTTCTACTGAAAAACATTATTATTGTTGATAGTTACGGAGAGGCTGATGGAACAACATGTTTTTTATTATTTATTTTCTAATTCACTGTTAGGTCCCCGAATTTAATTAAAAATCTATTATCGTTAATTAGTTGTTTAGTTAGTTAGTTAGTTAGTTAGTTAGTTAGTTAGTTGGTTAGTTAGTTAGTTAGTTAGTTAGTTAGTTAGTTAGATAGTTAGTTTCCAAGTCACTTAGAATGTGCTTGAACAAGGATTTCGTAGATATTCTTATTTATAGGGCGGGGAATTAAAGGGCCACAAACTGTAACCTCGAGTCTCCCGGCACTCAATTTTCAGATATACAAATGTGGCCGTATCTACATCATCGTGGCCAGGATAAAGGTTTAAAGGGTACCGTTGTGAATCGGCCATGCCTCTTTATAAATGGAAGGTCACTTATAATTACGCTTACAGTCCCTTTAATGGGATACGGACCCAACTGGAATGCGCATGTACTGTACTGTACTGTTTAGGTGAGCAGAATGGAAGATACGGAACCCTTCTCCGAGGAGCTTCTGGCTGGGATGAAACGACTCTGGGTTGACTCAGGGGTACAGGAGTGTTTCAGCAGATCTAACGAGTATCAGCTAAACGATTCAGCTAAATAGTAAGTTTGTTATTATTATTATTATAATTATTACTAGTATCATTATTTATTATTATTATTATTATTATTATTATTATTATTATTATCATTATTATTATTATTATTTTTATTAATATTATTATTATTATTATTGTTTAGTTTCTTGGATGATCTGGATAGGTTAGGAGCTAAAGATTACCAACCAACGGAACAAGATATTCTCCGGACTAGGGTGAAAACTACTGGAATCGTTGAAGTTCATTTCTCCTTTAAAAACCTCAACTTCAAGTATGTTACATTATGTACCATAAACCTTTAAAGGAAATGAGGCTTTGTCATAAGCTATGATTTTCTAGTTCTTTACAACCCAGTTAGATATTCTAAACTTTAAATTTTGTTGTTTTAAGTATAAATCTAAGTCTGAAATATCAAAGGGTGACATCAGCAGGTTGCAAAAATATAGGGATTAGAAAATTTGAGTTTGTGGCTAAAAAGGGAGAAGGAAATGTAAAAATGTGTCATAAACATTAAACACGAGTTAAATAAATTTCCTGGGGTATAGTTAAAAACCCCATACCTCACCTTTCTGTTATTCACTGAAATTTCATTTTTAAATGTTGAATAAGTAAGGAAACTAATATTTATTTTAATAATTACCTTGAACTAAATAAACGTGTTAGTTTTAAAGAATCCTAAAATATTATACCAAACCATAAATTATGTTGGCCTAGTTTTTAAGCAATTCAATCAACATTATATAAGCAATATTAGTCATGGTATGTCATGCAACTGAAACAAGTGTATTAGTACCCGTGTAATGTATACTATAACGAAACATATTAAAAATATTCCTTTCATTTTAAAAAGAATTTTCGTTTAGGAAAAAATTGAGGTCATATTTAGAAACATTTGCCAAAAGAAAAACTGACTTGAGTTATTAGTGAAAAAATTATTAAAATAAACTTTATTTTTTGTTTTTATTATCTAAAAGTTAAAATTAAAAGCCCTTAGAAAGATCACATTTAAATATTAATTAAAAGTTGAATCTCTGACCCCTTCCAGGCTGTTTGATGTTGGAGGCCAGAGGTCGGAACGAAAGAAATGGATTCACTGCTTCGAGGACGTAACAGCGATCATCTTCTGTGTAGCTATGTCAGAATACGATCAAGTTCTACATGAAGATGAAACCACGGTGAGTCAACAAAAAAATAATTTTTTACATATTTATTTTTAATTTGAATTTTAATAAAATTCTATTTTGACTTTTCTATTTTTCTTGATCTCCATTTTCTTCTTGTTGTTCGTGCATCTTCCACCTTGTTAATTTGGGAACAAAAGAAAAAATGGTTAAATACATGTGTTTAGGCTTTAAATTGTAAGGTCAGAAAAGGTTTAAGTTTCCCATTGCGACATCAAATGTCGCGAATAAACAACAAAACATTAATCATTAAACATAGACAATTACACGAATTCCAATCAACAGTAAAACAAAAAATATCAAAGATTTCATCTGAAACCCCGATCAGATCACTATCAATAAGTTAGAATAATTATAAGTATATGACTAGGCTTGAAGGGCACCGAGCAACTTTTTTTGGTAATAATTTTAGTTTTTAACTGTTGCTTTTCAAGTCGCTTTTTTATTGTTCTCTAGAAATTTTCGTTGAATTTTCTTTTTTAAACTGGTAGAATTTTTCCGGGCAAATTTGTCAAATTTGACCGTCCTTGTGGTCATGTGAGTTGCCACACAAAATTCGGACCCGATCGGTTCAGTACAATCCTTTGACGTTTATTGGATACAAACATACATTTAATTTTTTAAAAAGATATGATTACTTCACTTTTGTACCATCTCGTCATGTGATAATGTCAATGTCAATGTATTTTCAGGGACCCTTTTTTGCGTACTAAATCCTAAAAGTCACTTTTATAAAGGACAACAGTTAAAAGTAATCAATTTTAAGATAAAAAAAAGATAACGAAACATTAGTTTTGCTGTTGTTTAAATTTAAATTTTATTTAGAAGGTCTAGCTGAATTTACGTCAAACATTTAAATTCAACTATGCCTTTTATTTATAACTATATTATTCTATATATATTTTAATTATACTAATGGTTAGCCTTGTACCATTTAATATGGAAATGGGGTTTTTATCCAATTTTCTAAACTGGGTCAGATTGGAGGAAGGGGGAGGGGGGCTGGTTGTTAGAGCATAAATTCCTCTGAAATATTAATATTGTTCTTTACGAATATTGTACAAACCTTAAACTAAATGTTGTGTATGTGTTTGTTTAAAAAGTTAAAAAATATTAGATTTTGATTTTTAAAACACATGAATATCCTACACTGATTTAGATGTCAGTTAGGCCTCATTTATGTTTCAACTTTCATGTTTTCGTATTTTTACTTTTATCGTTTCTATTTTATTAATTAAAGCAACAACATTCAGTAAACTTTTGTTCAGTCTCTACATCGTTATCATTGAAGTAATTCCACAATTCACATATTTATAGCTTGGCCACAATTGGGAAATCTTTTGCTTGTGGATTTTTGTTTTTTTGGTTCATAAAAGTCTAAAAGAAGCTGAGACAAACAGGGGTTGAGAGCATCCTGAATTTCTTATTTTTCATAAGAGAGATCCGGTTTCTATTGTAAGAACTTTTATGCGGAGCCTTTTATAATAAAATCCATTCTCCCCTATACTATACAATTCATAAGAAACCCACACAAGAAGGAGCGAGGGGGGGGGGAAGGGAGGAGGAGAAATGAAAGGGAATTTAGGTCAACAAACTAGATTTAAATCAATAAAACCCAAGCGCCTATTCAGAATGAAATCCATTAAAAAGTGCAATTCGTTATATAAAAAAAGTGTCTACATTTTACATTCTACAATCTATTATCTACATTCGACAATCTTTTATCTACATTCTACAATCTTTTATCTACATTCTACACTTCATTATCTACATTCTACAATCTATTATCTACATTCTACAATCTATTATCTCCATTCTACAATCTGTTATCTACATTCTACAATCTATTATCTACATTCTACAATCTATTATCTACATACAATCTTTTATCTACATTCTACAATTTATTATCTACGTCCTACAATCTGTTAATTACATTCTAAAATCTTTTATCTACATTCTTCAATCTATTATCTACATTCTACAATATTTTATCTACATTCACAATCTGTCATCTACAATCTACAATTTATTATAATCTATTATCTACATTCTACAATCTATTATCTACATTCTACAATCTATAATCTACATTCTACAATCAATAATCTACATTCTACAATGTTTTATCTACATTCTACAATCGTCTATCTACATTCTACAATTTATTATCTACGTTCTACAATCTGTTAATTACATTCTACAATCTTTTATATGCATTCTACATTTTATTAAACAATTTGACAGTTTAAAATGTTTTGATTAAGTTTTGAGTAATAAATATTACTCAATTTATATAAGTTTAATACTGTTTTAAAGAATTGATAAATTTTCTGATTAGCTAATGATGAAGTAAAAAGTCAGAATAGGTCCGATTTGACAAATTGTCTGTTCCTTTTATTCTGTCTGTCTGTTTAAACTCTGTTTAAATCTGTCTGATGTCGATAATGTGTCTGACTGCGCTTTTGTATTTGTCTGAATATTTGGCCTGTTTCCAGTTTATCTGTCAGTTTGCTGATTTGAATATATTTTAAATCGAAATTAAAAAATTGGGTGACATTTTATCTTTGTGATTGTGATGCATGTTAGCGTTACAAGGAAACTGATAGAAACTGATTATTTACCTTAAATTATATTTTTCTTAGCCATATATCTTTGAAACCTGATCTCGTAGGTTTTTTTCATACTATGAATTCTGTTAGACAAAAGTCACAATTTGAATTTTCAAAGGTTATTCATTATTAATTATTAATTATTAATTAAAATAGTTTCTTTAATATAGAATTCCATTGAATCTAGCCAAAATGTAGCTATTAATAATAATAAATATATTATATATTCTTTATCTCATTACCATTTAATATATCTTTATCTTACATTGCTTAATGAAAGGTGTAACTACGGTATACCCCTTTTCCATCTCTTCCTTAAAATTGTATCTGATATCAATTGATCTGACTACTTCCGATTTCAATTTCCTTTTCTGAATTCGAATATTTATTATTTTAAACATATTTGTAATGGAGTTTAGGGAAGTTTAATCATACACGAAACATGTTTGACATATTTGTACTTTGCTTTCTATTAAAATATTCATGAGATTTTAATAGAAAATAAATTTGCAAAGAAAAAAAAAGCATCTCGAATTCAGTCTTTCCCACCAGCTCAAATTTTCTAATTATCCTGATGATGTAAACCTTTGATATTTCTAAAATAGATTATTTGGTCCAACAGAATTTATGGTTTGCAATGTCTAAGATCTTATGGCATTGGGTTGCAAAGATATGCGGATTAGACAATTAGAGTTTATGACAAAGACTTAATTCTTTTGTTTAATTATTTAAAGAAAATGATAATAAAAGTCTACGAACAATCTGAATAGCCTTTTTTTTACCGAGATGCTGTAAATAATAAATATTTCTACTTTTCCTTTTTTTTTTAGTCTAGACCATCATTTGTCTGGTAGCAAACTTTGCCATCTTCCCTTTAATCTGTTTAATTTCTTTAATTACTTTAATTGCCTCCGATAAACTTCTTAAAAGTTTTTAAGTTTTCAAAATAAATTAAAACTGTTAAAGTTGAAGTCTGGAAAGTGATAAAAGTTAAAAAGAAAGTTTTTAGACATGTATTAAAAACATAAATTTGAAATAAAAGCTTTTAGGCTAAGTGTTCATATGCTTTTAATATTCATAGTTAATTAAAATGTTTTATTATTTTTATATCTGATTTACAAATATGATGTGTAATGTTAAATATAAATGATTGTTCATACATAATTACTACCTTCATTAAAGGCCTGTTCGCGAAAATAAAAAGGGTGTATAGGCTTACGGCGAAAAATTATCGATGATGATCGCTACCAATCCTAATTCTATCTGTTGCGGGTATAAGGAGAAATTTGTTAAAAGCGTAGCGTAGCGTCCATGCATACAAATTCGATCAGACAGTTGCAACATACGACTCGGGTCGTAAAGTAATTAATTTAATTCCGAACAAGTAGTAATTTTTGGACTTATTCGTAAATAATCAATATTTCATAAGATTTAGATTTTTTAAAAAATAATATTTATCTTACAACTTGTTTTCACGTCCGGCGCAGGATTTTCTATCTATCTATCTATCTATCTATCTATCTATCTATCTATCTATCTATCTATCTATCTATCTATTTATCTAACCTTGTGCATGTTTAGAACCGAATGCAGGAGAGCTTGAAATTGTTTGATTCAATCTGTAACAATAAATGGTTTGGTGACACATCGATCATTCTTTTCCTCAACAAAAAGGTAATTATAGGTGTTTTTTCCTTTAAAGGGACTGTTGACGTTATTTCAAGTGATATTCCATTTATAAACTGGAATATCTGATTCACAACGGTACCCTTTAAACCTCTGATCAAAAAAAGAATAAGGTATCCTTGTTTATCTCTTTGAAAATTAAGTATTTTTTGATTTCTCTATAATTTATTAGTTAAAATATGCTTGCAGAAGCAATGAAGGAAATTGTTAGAATTAATCACCTCATAAGCTAGAAAGACTACGTTATCTTCCACATTATGGATCAAATACAGTTTTAAAGGGGGTACCATTGTGAATCATGCATGCACCTTTAGACCGAGGGTTGCCTTTACCCTCTAAAATTTTTTTTAAAACAATTTTTATCAAAAATTAATCTTTTGGTTGAATATTTCTAAAAAGGGACTTTTTTGAACTTTGCAAACTTCAAATTTTTTTGATTTTATGAATGATTTGGTTCTTTGAACATAAATTTAATAAGCATATTTTCTTTTTAGAAATCTTGTTTTTAGCCAAATTTTCCTAGAAATATTTCTGTATTAAAAAATAACTCTTATTCTAACATTTTAACGAATACTTCTAAAACGTGAGTTTTCTACCTTCATGAAGGTTCACTCACGTTGTAATTTGTATTAGCTGATTTGTTTCTGTAATCATAAAGTTGATTTTATAAAATTTTATCTAAAAGTTTGGTATTTGAACAATGAACATTTTATTTTAACAATTTATTTTTAAAATTAAAATAGTTTAAATATTTCTGAAGCGTAACTTTTCCAATTTTATGAAAGTGCATTGCTTAATTACATTCAGTTTTATTAAGTTTACTATTTTAGGATCTCTTCGAAGAAAAGATTCTTAGATCTCCACTCACCATTTGCTTTCCAGAGTATGCCGGTTAAGTATATGTAATAAGATTGCATGTTTATATTTACAAAATCTGATTTGAATTCTTATTGGATGATTTTACATGTTAAGGGAATAACGAATCTATTCAAAGGACAAAAAACTTTTTTCTTTTCATTTATAAACAACTTTTCTGACCTTGCATTATTTGAAGTGTTGCCAAGTCTTTGCTTTCAGATTGACCATACCACCCAACCATTTTTTTTTTGTAGCCATGGACATACATTTGTCAAAACTGTGAGAATTTTGAATCAGGTTAAACGCCAATGGTACACGCGGAAAGATTACCCATAATGATAACAATAATAAAAATAATAATACTAATTATATTGTATGCTAGGCGCCCAGGAGTATGGTGAAGCTGCTGCCTATATCCAAGCACAATTTGAAGCTAAAAACAAGTCTACAACAAAGGAGATCTACTGCCATATGACCTGCGCCACCGACACACAGAACGTACAGTTTGTCTTCGACGCCGTCACCGACGTCATCATCGCAAACAATCTTCGTGGTTGCGGTTTATACTAGACGGTGAGTTAAGAGTGTAACTCCTTATGATTCCACGGAATTCCTAGGAATTCTAGGATTTAGCCGGATTTAAGATTTAAAAGTTTCGCTCTCAGGTTTTCAAAAGAATTAAACATTAAACAAGTAATATATTCTTCATCATAACTTAGCAACCGCTTGACTTATTTGGCTCAAAGCTGTTCTTTTTAAAATAAAAATTAAATGTCAATTTTAAGATTTAAAATGAAAATGAAAAAATGGGAATTATTGAAAAGATTCACATTTGTTCCACAATTTTATTTGATATTAATATCGTTTAGTTTGGTTTAATATTAATATTCTAATACAAAATTACATTGAACTCAATTTATCAATGTTTAAAATCTACCAAAGGATTTGAGTTGCTGCCACAAACTCTGATTTTTCTAATCCCCATATGTTTGCAACCCAATGTCGTAGACCTTAGATATTTCAAATTATGAATCGTTATAGATAAAATAATCTATGTTTGAAATATTAAAGGTTTACACAATCAGCTTGCAAAGATATAGGGATTAGAAAATTAGAGTTTGTGGCAAAAACTCAACTCCTTTTCCATACAAACCCCTAAATACATCAAGATGCAAATGTTGAAATCCCTAAAGTTTTGTAATTTGTTGCTAAGCATTTATAGTGCTTAGGAGAATTACAAAATGCAGTTGCGGAAATAAAAGATTCCTAAAACATGTTAATTTTGTTTTTTTCATTTTAATTTTTCCGCCAATACTGAATTTAATTTTAAAACCAAAAAAGAATCTAAAGAAAAAATTCTGAATTCCTAGTCGGGCCAAACTTAAGAGCTTGTCAGAGTTTAAAATTGAAAAAATCAAACGTTTTGTTTTGTTTAGAATTGTGATCAAAAATAGGTCCTAACATGATGAAGTAGTTTTTTTACATGATCGTCTCTTTTCTGCCAAAACATTTTTTTTGTAAAAAAAAACTGGTTTTATATTTTAAATAAATAAAATTTTTGTATTTCAGTTTGTTTGTCTGGATTATGAAGAACTGAATCAAGTCCATGTACAACCACCCATCCAGTCATCAATATATATATTTAGTTCGATATATCGAACACAGATGTCGTGCACAAGAGCTGAACAGACTCTTTATTACTTTTGTCTCATTTTTGTGAATTTCACTCATTTTTCTTGTTTTATCAAAGGTTATAAGTTCTATACTTTTGTTATTGGATTTTCTTGAATCCAGAATTGTGAAATTTCAAATAAGTCGATCAGCCCACCGTCCCTCGTCGGCTGCCGAAAATCTGCCAGGAAACGCGAGCAGCAGCGAGTGGAGTCCAGTAAAAATCCACGAAAATGAAGATCTCTACATTTGTCTGTAGGACCGCAGACTTATCTAGATTCCCTCATTTATTTAATCCTTCAATCAATAGTGAAAATCAGCTGACCTATCAGCTTATCCAGATAAGCTGTTTTAAAACGCTGACTCGACTGCTAACTCTGAGTTAGCTCCATCACCCGCTGGAATTTTAGAATTTTGTATTTTAAAAAATCTGTATTTTTTCAATAGTTTATTCTCCCAGATAACAGTATTATTATACGACTGGCTGGGATGGAGATATCGTCAGCACAACTCAAAACATTTATTCATATTTGTATCATCAGAATAAACTTCAAGAACAAAATGTTTATTTTTTTATTTCATGGTTTCTTTATCCATAACTTTATTTTTTGATTGTTTACAGTTACAGGGTTACCCACAAAGAATGCGACTTCAGAGACGAATATTGCAGATTTTTATTGCTGTCTTTGATCCCTCATAATATTGGCTTTTTTTCTCCCAAAATTTTTGGTAGATGATTTAACGGCTTTAAGATAAATACCAAGTTTAACCCCTAGATTGGTCTGTTAAGTGAGTTTTTACAGTGGTTATCCCACTATAGTTTCAGAAGAAGTAAATATTTCCATTTACTGTTACAGCGCCGATATAAGGATTCATCTCTAATTGGATAATGAGATAGATATAAAGATAGATGTTACCGCCATACTATTTCTATTGGTTCAGAATAGACAACAAACACATGACTGAACCCTGATTGGATCAGGCGCTAATGGACTCGGCATACAAGAGTGATATTTTGTTAAAACCCCTGTATTTATCTTTATTTGAAAAGTAAACAATGCTGAAAAGAGATTCGGCATCGACAGTGATATTCTAAATAATCCGGAATAATAAAAATTTATTGATGACTTCAAAGTGGTTTTTGACCTTACAATTCTAGCTTGCAACATTCATTATAGGTTATCTATATTTTTTATTAAAAAAATAATTACAAAATAGCTCTAATCCTGTCATTTCCAAAATGTAGTCTGGCATTTTTTTGCTCTAAAAAATATTAAGAATTTTTGTTATATAAGACCATAAAAATGTGTAAACGAGTCATTTTTATTTCAAGTAATTATGAAAGCAATGGCAGAACTAGAGCTATTCTGTCTGTGAATATTGTTACATAAAAATTATTGCTAAAATCAGATTAACAATGTTTAATGCCGCAAATTATTGCTAAGGTTAAAGACGACTTTGAAGATATCAATCAATTCCGGGTTATTACGAATTCTTTTAATGTCAAGAATCTTCAAATACGATTAGGATAAAACAAAAATAAGAGAAAACGCCTTTATTTCTCAATACATTTACTAAATGCGTTATTGGAGAGAAAGAAGTTTTGACATTTACATAATATAATAATAGAAGAGACCTTCAGATAATTAGTTTATTTTTTCCATTACTGCATTCAACCTTTACAAGATGACCTTTGGATTTAATGTGAAAATAGCCCCCTATGATTGTATCTGGCACCTATAGGGTAACCCAGGAAACATGCCAGTTGAGAAACGATTTTATCTTTTTAAATTAAATGCGGCATTCATCTGGTGTTAGTATTTTAGAATTGCTTGCATTAATAATCACAAAAGGCATTTCCAAAATGAGGTCTGTCGCTTCAAAATTTCCAGCTGTGAGAAAAAATTCGTTCAAATTTCGATAATTTTTTATTTTAATTAAAAAACTAAAGTTTGGACGAAATTATTAATATTTCTGGTAATATTGAAAGCACAAAAAAGGCACATTTTGTAAATGCCAGGACTAGGAAAACTTATAGAGCAGTTTTCAAGAAAAATACATGTAAAAGTAGGTTATGTTAGAAATACCGTAAATTATTGCAAAGCTCATGTTTTGTAGGACACCCTGTAGTTCTTGAATTAATTTTTCTGAGAGAATAAACTGGATTGTTTGAAGATCAGAGATGGAATATAAAGAATTTGAGCCGCGGTTTAAATCCGTTATAAACCCGGTTTAAATTAAGCGCCGGCTTAAATCTTGAAACATTTGATACAATTTTAAGTGGAACCAACCATATTTAAACCGCGGCTTAAATTTAAACCGCCGCTCAAATTCTTTAAATTCGGCCACAGTTCGATTAACCTAAAAAGACAGGATTAAGAATCTCTAGCCTATAACTTAGCAAAAAAAGATTAACATTTTAGACCTCTTACTTTAAAGGTAAGGAATTATAGGTTTCTGGCATATCGGAAAATGTAAAATCTAATTTTTTACAAATATTGACGTGTACGGTGTAACACATGATTTAAAAACATTCTTCAAAAATTTTATTTTGAAATTCTAAAAGAATTTTCCTGCAGAGAAATTTATATATTAGAAATATCAAGGACTTTATTCAATAAACTTCAGTAATAACTAGAGAACTGTAGAATAAGAAGACGACATTGAAGCAATACTGAAGTGCATTTGATGTTGTTACAACGCAAATAGCTTTACTAGTAAGTTATAAAACCAATTATTTAGTGAAATGGGTCTGTTTACACTGCACAATTGTTTTGCTTTATGTTCATTGGACTAATTTAAGTGATAACTTCTTATTCCAGAGTTTTCTGGTTATCACTGTAGTATGTTTTAAATAATGTGAAGGAAACGTTTGTCTGCATCTAAATGCCTCAACAAAAAGATATTTTATTTTCTCATGTTACAAAAAAAGTTCATTTTTATAGTATTCAAGTTACAAACATAAAACCAGAATTTTCAATAAAAAACTGCAATTTATCACAATGTAAGACTACCACAATAATAAATAAACGTGAATATTAAAATGATACACAACACTTGTAGATAGTTGCACAAAGACGAGGGTTTCCAACAGAAACAAAAACATGCAAAAATGCGCAAATTTGCTTGTGTATTCTGCATTTTTTTTTCGCGGAATTCCGAATTGCAGAACTACACGCAAACAAATCCGTAATTAGAATTGCAACTGCAAGAAAATTGCGCAAAAACTTTTCACTGCTTGGAAATGTCTGTTTATATAAGTTACCATGTCTAGGATATTAGGAGTTTTTATATTATAAAGATTCTAATTTCTTGATGATCCATGTCTGACTCTAATTTTTTCCTACGTTCAGTTTTTGCGCATTTTTCCGTGGAAATTTCAGTATTTCTTTTCGAAATTAGCGTCAAACTCATTTTGCACAAATTCCACATTTTTGCACGAAACAGATTATTATGCACGAAATGCGGAATTTGCGCGTAACGATTTTTTCATTCCGCTGGAAACCCTAGAACAGATCCACCATCTATAGATTAAACAACGTTGAATAAAAGAAAACTTTATAGTTTAAATAGAAGTTTTAAAAATCGAACCTTAACGATGAGCATACCCCATTTATAACAACCTGGTAAAAACCATATGTTCATATAAATAATATGTTGAAGAAACAAAATCCAGCTGCAAGCAGGCGCGCAACTAGGGGGGGGCAGGGGGCCAGGCCCCCCCTAGCCTGACTAAGGGGGGGGCATGCCCCTCCCTTAAGAACTCTTTAAAGTCTTCTTTATTCTTTGTGTGTAACCCTGCAAAGCGAATTTGCAACTGCATAGCAATCAATTAACTTATATAAATGATTTTGTGAAATCAATTAGCATTTTGAAATTAATTAGTTAATTATCTCTTCAGAGAAACATTCATTCACAACCTAAACCCACATTCACGAATAAAAGGAAAGAAACCAGAAATAATAAACATAATTTTTAACCAGAGTAAATAATAAAAATATTTTTTTACAACTTCTTTACAGGGAAGTCAAGAGCACCCTACCCTACCGGAAACCCGCGGTAAAGTAAAAAAAAATGTCCCCCTATCGTCTTTTGAGCTAAGATGAAAACGTACAATTTTTTTCACGAACATTTTACAGAGCTGGTTTTCCAATAGACGTAAAGTAACCTAACGTCCCCCTCTGTTAGGGAAATCAGGTTCTGCAGTAATGTTGGTCAAAAGGTGGTTAAAAAATCTAACAAAGAGAAACACAGCAATACTGAACTAAAATACAAGCTGTCTAAAAAACATGAATCATTAAAGATGATTTAAAGATCATTTTCAATCTTTAATAATTTATTCATTGACAAAGCGTATAGAACAAAAAAGGTTACACAACTAATGAGTTTAATATGTTTACTTTATTTTGGTCATATATAAAGAAATTGTGAGCGTAATTTCAATAGAAAGACGACAATGCCAGATTCACGGTACGGTACCTTTAAAGCCATGTCTCAGCAAGTTATCAATGTTTGTAAATTTAAAATAACCTACAGTTAAACCCTAAATATTAAATAAATCGAAAGAATTTATCAGATGTCCCATTCTTCACGTTATGATGATGGAATGTTGCAGATATTTAGTTTCTTTTAATTAAATGATTACAAGGAGCTCTTTAAAGCTGTTCCCGCATATTCATGGCTATAATTTCTTTATTTTTGCAAATGCTGAGATTTACGTAATATGGTATTAAACCCATTGAAAAATTTTCAAGACGACATTTCATAAAGTCTTTCGATGTATGTAGTATTTAGGGTTTAACTGTAGAAAAACGGCAATTTTCTTCCGCATAGTTAATCTTAATCAGATAAAGTTTCAAGGGTACCGTTGTGAATCGGGCATTGTCACCATTGCATGCATGAAGGGTCATTTTTAATATTGCTAACAGTCCCAATTATATAGGTTTTTAAGGCGCTTCGCCCCATTTTCTATAAATAAGTTTACTTTAATTAATTGTGATTTTTCCAAGTTGCAATTTTATTATACAATTTCTACGATTTGTACAACTAGAGTTATTCATGGTCGTTTTGTTGTTAATTATTTCTATTCTAATTGCTAATTTGTATGTATTCACTTTACTCTATGTATGTTGTATGTTTGAATGGTGGAGAAATAAAAAATATAGAAATATCGAAGACGACATTAGACTCCGTACTATTTCCGCAAAGATGATGCAAAGCATAATAAAATGACGATGCCGAGCCATACCTCCTGAAGAATTTTGATTGGGCAACATAAATATTATGAAATATTAACTATATACAAATGCGTCGAAAAATAATCGATAACTATAGGATTTAATATCCAAATTATTTGTTTGATATTAATTTGATTTTTTTACGCAACAGATAGAAGTAAGATTAGTAGCGATCAGAAGCGCTAATTTATCGCTGTAAGCCTATATAACCCCTTTCATTTTTCACGAACACTCCCTTTAAGAATTAAGTTTATTATGACTTTAACATTGAAGCACAACTTAGTTTTTAGTCTCAAAAAACGTAACCATCGATGCATTTGATTTTTAAACTGAGAGATCCTCAACCTAATTACCTTGCTATCCTATCCTTCTATAATCTATACTTCTCTTGTCTGAGATAGCTGATTGAAAAATTTCAAGTAAAGTAAGCAATAATTTACCATATTTTATGAGTAATTTTCTATGTTGAGCACTTAAAATACTCACTTTTAATGCTGATTCATTAAAAAAAAATTACGGGCGCTCACAAGTTTCGATCGGTGCTCTTCCCACTGAATCAGAGTTTTATTGGAAAGTTTGACCCCCCCCGACCCGTTTCAAAGAGTTGGATCCACACCTGCGATTTGGTCTGCAGCCGTTTTGCCAGCTTTAACGAACATGTATATTATAAACTTGGCCTTCAGTGTGCTTCGCGCCCATCTTCTATTTCAATTGATAACATTTTCTCTTTGTAAGCATTGAAAAATAAAAACATAAAAAAATTTGAGGATTTTATAAAAAAAAATCGTAGATTTTTTAAATTTCAATAAAATTCAAAGTTTGTTGGAGGCAAATTTTTGAAATTTTGATCATTCATAATGTTAGAATTTTCAAAAATTTTCAAAATCCATTTTTTGAAAGTTTGTCACTATAATAATATTCACGAATTTTTTGTTTGTTTTTATTTTACAATGTATATAAAACATGTTCACAATTCAAAAATGGGTGGGAAGCGCCCTAATAGCCCAGTTTTATATATTTTTGTTTGGATTGATATATCTGAAATCCTGTAAAAAGACAAATTTATTTTTAACAGATTACGTTTCGTTGTTTTGCTCAAATTTGAGTAGAATAGGTAGAATAGATAGATAGAGGGATGGATAGATAGATAGAGGAATAGATAGATATATAATATAGATAGATAGATAGGAGAACAAGTAAATAGATACAGGGCGTCCAACGAAACATGATTGTGAAAAGAAAGAGCTTGAATATCGGCATTTATTTGTCAACTTTATACTTTTAGATGTTTGTTTGTTGAAATCCTTGAACCATATAATCACAAAACTTTTCTAGTCCAGAGGTTTCCAAATGTTCTTTGAATAATTTTGTTCAGATTTCGCATTATTTAATAAAACCAAAAATTGTCGAATTCTGAACGAAATGCTTAATATCCCCGGTATGGGGCAGGCCACATTTTGGAAATGCCAGGACCAGGAATAAAATTTTGCTTTTAATATTAGTTTGACGAATGAATGAATGTCACAAATTATTACAACGGGCAAGTCTTCTCTCAACTGTGATGTTTCGTGGGACACCCTGTAGATAGATAGATAGATAGATATAGGCAACTAAACTGATAGGTATATGTATGAAACCTTATCATTCAGTTCTCTAATTCTATACTTACTTGTTACTAATACACAGCACACATATCCTCAACATTAACTGTTAATATATTTTTCAAGGTGAGATCTCGAGGCTTCGCGTTTTTTTTCATTTTTCATCCCCCCCCCCTCTATATTTTTCATCTTGAAACTCTATATATTTCATCTCCTTTATATATATTTTTATCTCCCATCTCTATATTGTTATTCCCCTCTCCCCTTTCTATATTTGTATCTCCCACTTCTATATTTTCATCTCCAACCGCTATATATTTGATCTCCAACCTCTATATTTTTATCCCCCAACTTTATATTTTTCATCTCCCACCTCAATATTTTTCATCTCCCACCTCTATATGTTTCATCTTCCACCTCAATATTTTTTATCTCCTGTCCCACCTCTATATTTTTTCATCTTCCACCTCAATATTTTTCATCTCCCACCTCTATATTTTTTATCTCCTGTCCCACCTCTATATTTTTCATCTTCCACCTCAATATTTTTTATCTCCTGTCCCACCTCTATATTTTTTCATCTTCCACCTCAATATTCCCAAGAATAAAGGTATTCAAGAAAAATCAGATTGCTAACTTGAACTCAGGTGCTATGGATGTTTTAAAAAAAAGGCAAAAGGTCAGGAAAATTTTGTAAACGTTTTTAAAAACGTTTCGATCTTTCCTACTAATAATTTTAGCCCTGAACTGAACTCTGAAAGTCGTCTTTTTCAATCGTTCTCAAATTTAGCGGATTTTCTCTTTAAGTTATTGAATTCTCAAAACAAAATATTTTAACATTTATTTAGATACAGAGTAAGAAACTAATCACGCCATTTAATTTTGATCTTTCATCGTTGATAGACAGCGTTATTTAAACAAAGGAATTGAGTTTTTGTAACAAACTCTGATTTTCTTATCCCTATATCTTTGCATTTCAATGTCGGAGACCTTAGATATTTCAAACTATGAATTATTTTAGATCAAATAATGATAGTTTGAAATATCAAAGGTTATTACCATCAGTTTGCAAAGATATAGCGATTTGAAAATCAGAATTTGTGGCTAAAACTCAGTTCCTTTGTACGCTTTTGTATTTTCATAGTGTGACATACCTTTTTTGTAAAATGTGATTATTTTTTAAAATTGAAAGTTCTTTAAATCTCGCAATGCCGCAAAATAAAGCATCTTCTTTCATATCTTAGACCAGTGAAAAGTCTTCTCTGAACTGTGAAGGGTGTACACCTGTACACTTTGTATTGTAAAATGTCTTTGAATTGGAATGCAGTTCGACCTTATGAAGTGCAACCATTAACACAGACAACGTAAGTAATGTGTGTTGATAATGCATTATTTTTAATTTGTTTACTATTTTCAATAAATAATTGAGATGGGGGGAGGAAAGGGGGGAAGATTGAAGTTGAGAAATTCAGTTGTGTACAAGCATTGATAAGAATGCGATTGAAGAATTTTTAAAAGATTTTTGTTTGTTTTGCTTTATATGAATTTATCTTAAAATGATGAAATATCAAGTTTATTGTTGTTGCACTATAACCTAAAGATAAAATTTTAAAATTTTTATTCATAGGGTTTGTGTTTGGAGGGAGGGGGGGAGACATAAACCTAAAAAAGGGAAAACAGAAATGAAAAAAATTAGAGAGAGGAAGTGCACGTTACGTGCTTGCAGGAGAAAATAAGATTGAAGAGTCAAAAAAAGAGAAGAAAAGAATGTTCAAAAAAAGAAAAGAAACACTTTAAAAATAAGAAATAACAAGAGGGAAAGAAGAAGAAGCAGTTAGAAAGAGAGCTAAACAAATAAATAAAGTGGAAAGATTTGAAAAATATTTAAAATAAGAAAAAGAAGAAGGTAAATGAAAAGAGAAGGAAGAAGATGGAAAAAAGAAGGAAAAAGATATAAAAGAAGAAGATGAAAAGATTAAGGATAAAATAAAAAGATTAAGGAAGAAGATTAAGGAAAACGATAAAAAGATTAAAGAAGACGATGAAAAGATTAAGGAAGAAGATGAAAAGAGAAGGTAGAAGATGAAAAGAGAAGGTAGAAGATGAAAAGAGAAGGTAGAAGATGAAAAGAGAAGGTAGAAGATGAAAAGAGAAGGTAGAAGATGAATGAGAAAAAGGAAAAAAATTTAAAAAGAAGAAAGAATATAAAGAGAAGGTAGAATATGAAAAAAAATTAAGGAAAAAGATGAAAAGATAAGGTAGAAGATGAAAAGATGAAAAGATTAAGGAAGAAGATAAATGAGAAAAAGGAAAAAATTTAAAAAGAAGAAAGAACATTTAGAGAAAACAAATTTGCGGGACGGAGTAAATAATTACAGCATAAAAATATCGAAGGAAAATTTACAAATGCTTGCTCGTGAAAACTAATGCAGAAATGACGGTGACGCCAAACATGAAAATCAAGTATTTTGACAAAGTATTTCTTAATATTTATATAATTAATTATGTTAGGTTTCCGCCACTTCATTCTAAACAAGTTTATCTTATTAATTATATTTGAACTTTAAAACAATCTACATATAAAGTACAAAGAACCTGCACAAATATTAAATGATATATTTTAAAAATGTAAAGAAACTGAATGTTTGTCACAAACCCAAATATTCTAATCACTACAACCTGGTGGCGTAAACCTTTAATATTTCAAACTTAACTCTGCCTAACCTTTTCAAAAATACTATTCATGACAATCAAAATTTTCTACAAACCTGACTTCAGCTGTTTTAACATTTACTTTATAAAAACAAAACAAAATCAACTTTTTAAAATCTTTCACATTTAAATTTTACAATTACTTACAAAAAAAAATATTTTTTATAAAATCAATTTTCATAAAAATGAAGCAAAATTATTTATACAATGGGGATCAGAAAATGGGTAAATGAATTTCGTTTTCGATTTTTCTTTTACTTAACAAATGTCACCGAGAGTTTTGTAGTTTATAATCGCAATCACAATTTATATATAAAAATCTAGAGCTAGGACCTTTTATGTAGAGTATAGTTATACTTAAACGCTTGAGCTCGATATCCAATGAGGGGCCCTTTTAAATTCTTTGATAAATGCTTTTCATTCCTCAATTTAAGTTATAGGTGCGGGAAATGACCATTATTACGAGATGTTTAAAAAGGATTTAAATGAATCCATGGCCTCCACTCTACATAACTAGGAGACTATAGCTTAATCCCGAGATATGAAAACACAAAGTTTTTACTCCAGATTCTATTTTGAATAATAAGTTATGCTTCTCAATAACCTTTTTAAAAGCAAGACATAAATTTCATTGGTTTAGGGTTTCCACGTAGTTTAGAAAAAAAGCAATAATTTAAAGTGTAGGGAAATTTTTAAATCCACTTGAAACTGGAAAAAGCAATTACAAAATCAGCTGATAACATGTCTGATAAATCCGTGGCTTAATGACCAGTTCAAGTTCAACCTTCTAGAACCATCAAAGAGAGTGTACACTTGTTATACATCAAAATTTCATACAGAGGTTCTCATAAAACTATAGAAAAGGGAGAAAGACACCATTTTGGCAAATTTGTCTGTTGTTACAAAATAATAGATTCACCAGAATTTAGAAAATCAACATATTAATTGAATTTGTGCATCCATGGTACACATTTCAGTGTTTATTGCTAAGTATTTAACCATATCCCTGCTGGGGTACTTGAAAACCAGGATATGCTGGGGTCCCCCCCAGCAGGAATAGGGTTAAAACCACAACTAAATATAATTCCAATAGCCTATACATTCCAAAGTTTAATAGCTAAGAAATGTTAAAGCTGTGTCCGAATTTAAGGAATTTGAGTCGCGGCTTAAATCTGCTATTAACCGGTTTCAATTGAGCGCCGGCTAAAATCTTGAAAAATTAAGTGGAACCAACCATATTTGAACCGCGGCTTATATTTGAGCTGCGGCTCAAATTCTTTTAATTCGGCCTCTGTTTACAAAAAACAACAAATTAATTACTAACACATTTTTTTCAATTTAAAACACCTTTATAAATAAGAATTCAACTAGGCCACAGCACCATAACTTACACTAATTATTATAGTACAAAGCATCTAAAAATTGTCCTTGATAAATGAAGGTTCATATAAACATGGAGAAATTAATTAAACTTAAACTCGTCTTTATTTTGTGCTACATTTAGTTAAAGAAAACAGTTATCAATTATAATTTAAACAATGCAAATTGAAATACATAAATGAAAGAAAAAAACTGAAAACAATAGAGAAATAATCAGAATTTGTTTCACGTTATCTTTAACATTTTGACATAACTTGTTGACATACTTATATAATGATCAATTAATTTTAGATGAATATAAATTATTGTTTTAAATTCTAAGAAAGTGTGGAAATCATGTTTGATTTTACGAAATCTTATCTTGCAGAACAAACAATCTTTGGCTTAAAACACGTGAATGCACACTAAACTCATCTCAAGTTAAACACAGTCATTGAAACAACAATGCGAGTTTTAGCTCAGTGAAGCCCATAAAACTCCGGAATAGAAAGTATAATGATTTTTGATAATCATTTAACGTGCAGCCGTTGTACATTTGATTTTTCGAGCCGGGTGATTTTTTCCGGTCCCAGTTTGTACTGTAACACCCGGACATTGGGTAAATTAAGCAGACACTCAATAGGACTAGCCGGTGGAACAGGGTTGACGGGGTCAGACTTTAGGTTGAATTTACTTTTACTAAAGGATCAGAGGTGCGTGATTTAAACATGAAACAAAGCAATTGTGCAGTGTACACAGATTAAATTGATTTTCAACAAAGGAATAACACCATATTTCCTTTGTAACAAAATCAAATATAAATAATGTCTTTATATTCCACAGTTTCACGGGCCTCACTGGGTTAACCTCAAAGGATGCGACCCTAATGACGACCTAGATCTTTTGTCTTGTGCCTTAAATTTTTAAATTATTTGGAAAATACAAAAAGTTTACAGTGAACAAAATACATAAATACAAATTCTCGTGGTTTGCGTACATAAATACAAATTCTCGTGGTTTGCGTACATAAATACAAATTCTCGTGGTTGGCATACATAAATACAAATTCTCGTGGTTGGCATACATAAATACAAATTCTCGTGGTTGGCATACATAAATATAAATTCTCGTGGTTGGCATACATAAATACAAATTCTCGTGGTTGGCGTACATAAATACAAATTCTCGTGGTTGGCGTACATAATACAAATTCTCGTGGTTGGCATACATAAATATAAATTCTCGTGGTTGGCATACATAAATATAAATTCTCTTGGTTGGCATACATAAATATAAATTCTCTTGGTTGGCATAAATAAATATAAATTCTCGTGGTTGCCATACATAAATATAAATTTTCGTGGTTGGCGTACATAAATACAAATTCTCTTGTTTGGCATACATAAATACAAATTCTCGTGGTTGGCATACATAAATATAAATTCTCGTGGTTGGCGTACATAAATACAAATTCTCGTGGTTGGCGTACATAAATACAAATTCTCGTGGTTGGCATACATAAATATAAATTCTCGTGGTTGGCGTACATAAATACAATTTCTCTTGGTTGGCATTCATAAATACAAATTCAAATGGTTGGCATACATAAATACAAATTCTCGTGGTTGGCATACATAAATACAAATTCTCGTGGTTGGCATACATAAATATAAATTCTCGTGGTTGGCGTACATAAATACAAATTCTCTTGGTTGGCATACATAAATACAAATTCTCGTGTTTGGCATTCATAAATATAAATTCTCGTGGTTGGCATACATAAATACAAAATCTCGTGGTTGGCATACATAAATAAAAATTCTCGTGGTTGGCATACATAAATACAGATTCTCGTGGTTGGCATACATAAATACAAATTCTCTTGGTTGGCGTACATAAATGCAAATTCTCGTGGTTGGCGTACATAAATATAAATTCTCGTGGTTGGCATACGCAAATACAAATGCAAAAAAAACAAGAATGTTCTAATGATGACAAAACTATTTCCGTACAGTGGTATCTGAAGCCTCATCCTGTATTTGAAAAGTGTTTCATAAATGTTTGGAAATAATATGATATTGTCTTTATGTCTCCTATTTCCAGAATGGAGAATGAAAATAGTTCAGTTGCTCGCGAGGAAGGATCTGTTTTAAACGAGGATAATTTTACAAGGTAAATTTTAACTTTTTTTCAGAAACAGACAATGAAAATGTCTTCCTCATTGTTTTATTGGTTCAAATCGTATATTTCATAAATGGAGGGTCGGTCGTTATTAGAATTACGTTTAAAATGTCTTTAATTGGAACACCTTCCAACATAAGTACTTACTGTAAAAAATAACATCATATTAATTATTAACATAATTAAATATAAATTTGTAAAATGATGTTTATTTTAGAACTACAATGAGTAGCAGTACAGTTTCAGCTTCTTCAGTAATTATTCCCGTTCTTCTTGTTCTTGCTTTTCTTGCTGTTCTTCTTATAATCACAGGTATATATATATACAAGTAGACAGGAAGACAAGAAGACACGAAGACAAGAAGACAAGAAGACAAGAACAAGGAAGACAAGAAGATAAGAAGACAAGAAGAAAAGAAAATAAGAATACAAGAAAAACGAGCTTGTATAAAAAAGACAAAAAACAGAAAGATAAAGACAAAAGATGAAAGTGATAAATGAAAAGAATACAAGACAAAAAGACAAGATTGCAAAAAAAAACGCAAGAAAAAAGTGTGAAAAAGGACAGTTATAGATGTAAAAGGCACAAAGTTAAAATACAAAACAGAAATATGTTTCTTCTTTCTTTAAATACTAATTATTTACTTTAGTAGTTTTTCAATGTCTCGTACTGCTTTTATATTTAAATAATTATTTTTTGTTTTATTTCAGTAATAGTTTTTCGATGTCTCACTTCTTTTATATTTAAATATTTATTTTTTATTTTATTTCAGTGATAGTTTTTCAATGTCTCACTGCTTTTATATTTAAATAATTATTTTCTATTATATTCTAATGATGGGGATTCAATGACTCACTTCTTTCATATTTAAATATTTATCTATTATTTTATTTCAGTGATAATTTACTGTAAGAGAAAAAGAAGAGGGAAGGATAGGCCTGATATAGGTAAATAAAAATAAATACTGGCTAAAAAATGGGGATTAGGTTTTTTCAACCCTTTAAATCGCAAAAAAAAACTTTAAAATGCGCTCTGATATATAGTTCTTTGATTAAGCTTTAGTTTTCCAAGTAAACGGAGATTTTGAACATTCGACATCTATTTTACGCTTAAAGGAAGCATATAACGACAAAATTTAAAAAGGTTCATTGTTGGTTTTTTGAAATTGTGAAAATTGGATGATCAAGGCCGGTCAAAAAACTATTTTTTTTTTTTTGGAGGACTCTTGCAAATTTTCGCTATTTCGCAATTTCGTGTATTTGTCTGCGTAACTTATTCAATTATTAACCGATTTTTTATGATTTTACCATTTTTGAATACAGTGTTTTGGTCCCCGGCCATATCAACATATTTTGGTCCCCGGCCATATCGACATATTTTGGTCCCCGCGGCCATATCAACATATTTTGGTCCCGGGCCATATCGACATATTTTGGTCCCCAGGCCATATCGACATATTTTAGTGCCCGGCCATATCGACATATTTTGGTCCCAGGCCATATCGAGATATTTTGGTCCCCGGCCATATCAACATATCTTGGTCCCCGGCCATATCAACATATTTTGGTCCCCCGCCATATCAACATATTTTGGTCCCCGGCCATATCAACATATTTTGGTCCCCGGCCATATCGACATATTTTGGTCCCCGGCCATATCAACATATTTTGGTCCCGGGCCATATCGATTTATTTTGGTCCCCAGGCCATATCGGCATATTTTAGTGCCCGGCCATATCGACATATTTTGGTCCCCGGCCATATCGACATATTTTGGTCCCCGGCCATATCAACATATTTTGGTCCCGGGTCATATCAACATATTTTGGTCCTGGGCCATATCAACATATTTTGGTCCCCGGCCATATCAACATATTTTGGTCCCGGGCCATATTGACATATTTTGGTCCCCGGCCATATCGACATATTTTAGTGCCCGGCCATATCGACATATTTTGGTCCCAGGCCATATCGTCATATTTTGGTCCCCGGCCATATCAACATATCTTGGTCCCCGGCCATATCAACATATTTTGGTCCCCGGCCATATCGACATATTTTGGTCCCGGACCATATCGACATATTTTGGTCCTGGGCCATATCGAAATATTTTGGTCCCCGGCCATATCAACATATTTTGAAAAAAAAATATTTTTGCTTCCACAAGTGATTTATTTTTTTACAGAAACGTGATGCGCTGCATGAAGTCAAAATTGAGAAAAAAAAATTTACTGGGTAGATATTACTGTCTGCTAAGACGACATTCCTCCTGAAAAATTGATCTAAATTAAGACGACATGTCTTATACAAATTTAAATATTTAACATAGCATTATATTTTAGTAAATTGCAATTTAAAAATCCTCAAAAACATGGATGCGACAAGTTTATAAATTATATTAATATTAATAGAAATACATATTACAACAATATCATATTCATGTTTGAATGTCAACTATTAAGACGGTATATTCCTCCTGAAAAAAACTTACATACATATATCTGATAAAATATTCTCAATGTTTAGGGTTGCCCTCTTCCCCAATCTCAACTCTAGGAAATCAATATCAAATCAAAGATTTTATCAGGTAAACATATTATTGAAATTCTTTTGAAAATATGATTTAGCAAAAAACAAGATTGAAATTATACAAGATTAAAATATTATTATATTTTATAAAAAATTAATAATATTATTTATTGTGATAAAATTAATTGATATTTTTTAAAGAATTTTTTTTTTTTTTTACAAAAATAGGATAAATATTTTATAGAAAATATGTTAAATATTTTACAGAAAAGAAGATTAATTTTTTTAAAAATCTGATCATTAAAAAATAAATATTTGATTTTTAAGATATTTTATGTTTTCAGCTCGAACAATGAGAGAAAATTTTCAGGTAATGATATTATTTTAAGGATTAATTTTATCTGAAGAATGTTTTTGAAAAAGAAAGAAAGAAAAACGTCACCAAGCCAAGATAAAAAAAAAAACAAGACTCACGAAACTGTGGAATATGAAGACGACATTTAACAGTTTTAATTGTGAGATAGGTTTATGTATTCTTCACAATTGCTGTTTAGTATGTTCATTGGACTATTTATAACACCGAACATGATTCTAGAAGTCGTCTTCCTTTTCCATAAATTTAAGACTAACGCTGTTTTTTTTATTTCTCTTTATTTTCAGACAAGTCTTCTTACAGTGTAGAGGAGGTAACTAAAAAAAGCAATTATTAAAACTTTTTTAAAAATTATAATTATAAATAAAAATATTTTTTTCTGAAAGTTAGAGGAGTGTATTAGGAAAGATTCTGCCTACGGGGACGGCGTGCGTATCAGCAAATATATAGGAAATTAACCAATTAAATTCAATTGTTAGAAATGTACAGTACTTTTTATCTTTTTCTATGCTTTATTCATCTTGTTATGGTATCTATATCAAAAACTTCTAAAACATATCTTATTTTACTTCAAAAGTTGCGTATTTTTCGTTTGAAACTGTAGAATTTAAGCTTTTCTAAAAATTAACATTGTCTGTAGAAGAATTTAGACCAAGAATATATTAGGATTAAAGGAACTGAGTACTTGCCACAAACTCAAATTCGCTCAGCCCTTTATCATTGCAACCTGCTAATTCACTGAGCCCTTTATCATTGTAACCTGCTAATTCACTAAGCCCTTTATCCTTGCAACCTGCTAATTCTCTAAGCCCTTTATCATTGTAACCTGCCAATTCACTAAGCCCTTTATCATTGCAACCTGCTAGTTCACTAAGCCCTTTATCATTGCAACCTGCTAATTCACTAAGCCCTTTATGATTGCAACCTGCTAGTTCACTAAGCCCTTTAATTGCAACCTGCTAGTTCACTAAGCCCTTTATCATTGCAACCTGCTAGTTCACTAAGCCCTTTATCATCGCAACCTGCTAATTCACTAAGCCCTTCATCATTGCAACCTGCTAATTCACTAAGCCCTTTATCCTTGCAACCTGCGAATTCATTAAGCCCTTTATTCTTGCAACCTGCTAATTCACTAAGCCCTTTATCATTGCAACCTGCTAACTCACTAAGCCCTTTATCCTTGTAACCTGCTAATTCACTAAGCCCTTTATCTTTGCAACCTGCTAATTCACTAAGCCCTTTTATCATTGCAGCCAGCGAATTCAGTAAGCCATTTATCCTTGCAACCTGCTAATTCACTAAGCCCTTTTATCATTACAGCCTGCTAATTCACTAAGCCATTTAACCTTGCAACCTGCTAATTCACTAAGCCCTTTATCCTTGCAACCTGCTAATTCACTAAGCCCTTTATCTTTGCAACCTGCTAATTCACTAAGCCCTTTATCCTTGCAACCTGCTAATTCACTAAGCCCTTTATCCTTGCAACCTGCTAATTCACTAAGCCCTTTAATCCTTGCAACCTGCTAATTCACTAAGCACTTTATCTTTGCAACCTGCTAGTTCACTAAGCCCTTTATTCTTGCAACCTGCTAATTCACTAAGCCCTTTATCCTTGCAACCTGCTAATTCAATAAGCCCTTTATCCTTGCAACCTGCTTGTGTAAACCTTTAAAATTTCAAACTTACACTTTTTTATCCAACAGAGTTTACAGCTAGATTTATAAAAGGTTTACGACATTGGTTTTAAAGATATAGGGATGAACAAAAATTAGAGTTCGTGGCAAGAACTCAGTTTCTTAGTATTAATGTTGACTTGAATATAAGTATTGATATTGGCTTAAATATAAAGATGCTGTTTCTGAAGGAGATCTTCACAAAAAAATGGAGACCATCGAGAGGAGCGGTAAACCAGTCAGTGAAAAAGTTGTAGAAAGAGAAAATGGAAAACTCCTCCCTGAAATACTACTTGAAGGAGATGAGGTTGATGGAGATATGAATTCTACCCATCTTGATACAAGATTAGGTAATTTAAAGGTTCTGTATGCGTGACCCCAGTGACCCTAAATGCAAAGATGGCAATGCCCGATTCACAACGGTACTTTTAACATCCTTTTTGTTCAAGTATGAAATAGAAAGCCATACTTATAATGAAGATATGTATGAATTTAAAACTTAAACACGTAGTTTTAAACCTAGAAAAATGATAATATCTTCCACAAGGCTACCGTTGTAGATCTTTGCATAGAGGGTCACTTGAAAATACGCGTACAGTCTTTTTAATATGTAATAAAGATAAGTCAAATTTATTTTAAGAATTGTTCACAATTTGTAACTGACTTATATCAAAGAAACTTTATTTTAAAGTTTTAAAGACAGAAAAACTGAATAATCTAGATCTTTCTGATATAATATAATACATAACGATGGATTATGCCAGTTGTTAAATCTTATTTTTCTATGCATCAGGGTTCTCTATACAATACCTGGATGTGCTAGCTCCTATTGCTGGAGGAGAGAGTAATCCTTCCTCCAGACCTCACTCCGTATATACCAATACACAGGAGCAGGGTGGAGACCAACCTGGAGCTCAACCTCAAGGAGGAGAAGGAGAGAAGAAAAGAGATCTATACAGACCTTACTCACAAATCATTGAGTCGAACCAAAGAAATGAAATCACAAAAAAGAAGGTACAAAAAATGAAATAAAGTCTTCAACATATTTGGAAGATCAAGGACTAACGTTGAATAGCAGAAATCGTTTTTCTTTTGTTCTAGACTAAATGACAAGAAATGTCAGCTGAGCTCTTTCTTAATAAATATTTATCTGAAACTATATGGTTTTTTATAACTCATGATCGCATAGTGGTAATGTTAAATTAGCTGTATATTATACACTGTGCTATAAAGTTTAATTGGCCTTGGAATTTCATAGAAAAAAATTTGAATATTTCTAGAAAAAAAATCCAATTTAAATCAAATTAAAATTAAAACAAACTTTTGTTTTTATTTTTGCTTTTTTAAAGGAACTAAGTTTTGCCACAAACTCTGATTTTCTAATCCCTATATTTTTGCAACCCAATGTTTTATATCTTTGATATTTCAAACTATGAATTTTGATGATAGATCAAGTTTAAAATATGAAAGGTTTACACCATCAGGTTGCAAAGATTTAGGGATAAGAAAATTTGAGTTTGTGGCAACACCTCAGTTCCTTTATCTAGAAATCTTATCAAGACAAGTGTACAAATAATTTAAAATTTATCTACAAAACTACTTTTTTGCCACGACGTGTTTAAACATTTTTAGATTTTCTTTTATCCTTCACAAAAGCTCGAGACAAACTATAATCTTTAAATATTTGAATCTTTAAAAGAAAATTTCTCTCCAGACACTTTTGGCACAGCAAACTAAAAAAATAATGCTATAACAGTAAAAGGGTGCTAATTTATCCAATAAATGTTTTGATTAAAAAATCGTTTAAGTTTACATCCATTAAAGTCTTACATTTAACATTGAACTTAATCTTTGAAAGTGATAGACAAATTATAATGTTCAAAATTCTATCTAGAATGAGCTACAGGGTGCCCAAAGTGAAATGTTCCTGTCTGTGGCATCTCCTAAACCTTACTCAGCGAAATCAGAATCCAATCTCTCCTCGCGCCCAACAGGAGAGGAGTTGTTTTATTTCTATAGTTGGAAACTTTTGAACAAGTGGAGCTTTAAAATCTTAAGTCCTTGACTTAGGCCGTAACTTTTGAATGAATTAGTTTAAGTTTTTAGATTGCTATATACACCCTCACCTACAATAAGCCATTAAAAAGCCGACTTTAAGGCAGAAGACTCAATTTAAACTTGAAATTGTCATCAAGAAAGGAGTTAAAGTTAAAGTATGTTCATTGGACTATTTATAACACCGAACATGATTCTAGAAGTCGTCTTCCTTTTCCATAAATTTAAGACTAACGCTGTTTTTTTTATTTCTCTTTATTTTCAGACAAGTCTTCTTACAGTGTAGAGGAGGTAACTAAAAAAAGCAATTATTAAAACTTTTTTAAAAATTATAATTATTTAAATATATTATATAATATTTATATAATAAAACAAGACATGCATATAAATATAATGCCTATAGCCGGCCAAACGGCTTGACCGAATAGGCTGAAATTATTTGAGGGAACCCTGGGACAAAGGCTGAAAATTATTTTTTTAATTCCACAGGCAACGCCGGGCACTTCAGCTAGTCTTTATTTTAATTGAATTTGGACGACTAAAAATTGGTTTAAAGGGAGTGTCTGGCTATGTAAGGTAGTTGAACTGAGTATGCAGTATTGTCAAAAGCTTCTTGCGGCTTCATCTGAGCCATATTAAACATTTGAAAGATCTGTAAATTCTGAGTTTAACTTGATAACTATGTCTAAAGTTGATCCTAAACTCTTGCTATATCTGGTTTTGGGATTTTATGGGTGGGTTTTTTATTGGAAATATTTAAAAGCAGCATTAGACAAAAAAGTTATAAAATTCATTATTACGAATGAAAATCAAATTGTACCTTATACTATTTAAAGTCATTTTTATTTGATTTAAACGAAAAAGCTGTTGTTCTTTTTCTTATCAAAGATGGGAAGAAACATGATTTATAAAAAAACTATTCTTCTGACTGTAGGCTCCTCTAATCTACCTCCGGTGCCTCCGAAGAGAACTCCTTTGCTTCCTCCGAAACAAGCTGTTGGGAAGAGCAGGGAAGATATTGATAGAATCACCAAGGTACTGAAACTAGGTTTTCCAACGATATTTGCGATGAACAAAATTTGCGAAAAAATAGGATTTTCAACAAAAAATTTGGTTCGAATTTCGCGAAAATAGTTTATCTTAAAGGAATTTAATCTGCGCCACAAACTCAAATTTTTAAATCCCTAAGTTTTCAACCTGATGATGTAAACCTTAGATATTTCAAACTTAGATTAATTGATCTAACAGAATTCATAGTTTAAAGTATCTAAGGTCTAAGACATTCTTGGGTTGCAAAGATATGGATTAGAGAATCAAAGTTTGTGACAAAGAAAAAAATATTTTAAGGAGATCTTGAGATCCTCAGTTCTTCCAACAATTACAAAACTAGAAGAGGTAAAAAATTTAAAATATTTTTCTTTCTATTTATCACAATTCACAAGGCCAGGGTTTTCTCTGATTTCTGATTTCTGGTTTTTTCTGATCAAGAACATACGAGATATCCATACTTTTTGTTTTGAAAATCAATTGTTGTTTCTCCATAAAGTTACCAGCGCACATCTCTTTCAGAAACAATGAAAAGCACTTTTAAAGCTAGTAAAACAACCCAATCAAATTTTGAGGCAAATCGGTCCAGCGGTTCCTGACTTATAAGCGGACATACACACAGAGAATACTACTTTATAGATATAAATGTTAATCCTCGGATTTTTTATCATAATAAACTTTTTATTAAATTTATCTGTGACCTCCGACCTCTGTCCAGGTTGACGAGGACTATGATCTACCTGTACCTGGAGCTGGACTGAGGGTTGATGAGAAGGATGCGAAAAACGAGGATGAGGATTACGATGAACCTCCAGTATCATTCTCACAGGTTCTACAGATTATACTTAGGGTGCTTCAACTCATAATCATGTAAATTTCACTTATTTGCTGTAATGTCTCTTATATCGCTTGTTTATCGTGACAACCTGCAATTAACCAATTTCGTTCGCTAACAGACTTTTAACAATGCACTTGGATCAAATTTGTCAAGGATTGCTAAAGACCAGTAATGGTGCATTAGGGTTTCCATTTTTTCCGGATAGATTTGGACCCGTAAAGGTCTTACGGGTCCTTTCCTCAAGCTCTTAAGAATTATTAAGAATTAAGTTAATTTCATTGTTAACCTTTCTTAACCTTATTAAGAAAAAAATCTGCCCTCTCTAGATGTTTCATAGAGCTGTGTGTGACCTGCTAAAAAAATGTTTACGGGACGACTGTTCCGGATCACTTCCATATGGAAAATCGTCCCGGAAACCTTTTTCAACATATCCCACCAAGCTTTGTTTATTATCTCAGGGGTTTGATTTATTTAAAAATCATGTGAGAAAGGTTCCGCCTCAAATTTTCCAAGGAAAGTTGATCCGGGAAAAAAAATGGAAACATTTTTTGGCATCTATTATAGAATAATCTTATTCTTATCTTTTCTTGAGTTAAACAACCAGAATAAACCTGAAGCTTTAACAGTTGAAAAAAATGTATTTTTCTCGAAACTAAGCAGAACTTTTATGTTGTATAATTAAAATTCCAATCTTTTGATCTCGATATCCACTTTGGGTACTTTAATGTTGTATACTTATAATCCCGATCGTTTGATCTCGATATCCACTTTGGAAGCTCCTTTGATCCCCGGACTGGGTAGGATTACCATCCAGGAAATCAAATAAAGATTAAATTAATCTGCTGATTAACACAAGATCTAGATCAATTGTTGATCTCGATACCTGCACATTACAAGAGCTCCCAGCCCACCATATTCTTAAAAATTGATGATAAGTTATATTGTTTAATAAAGAAGATTTGGTAAAATTCTAGAATTAAATTGAAAAATATCTTTAACAAAATATTGTTCAGGAGGATTATGATGAACCAACGCATTCATTTCAAGAAAATAACACCAGTGCTGGTTCCAGGTAATAAGATAAGTATGGTAAACAAAACGAGTTTCCTATTTGGGGTCTATACATTTAAGAAGTCGGAAAACAAACAGAAAAACATGAAATAATATTTCTTAACACAAAAATTGATATCTACCAAACTGCGACCCCATTCATGAAACCGTATTTCCCATTCTGGGTTTCATTATGATATATTCTGGGATTATACAGAAAACAGGATAATTGTCGTTAGGAGTTTTTATTAAATAAATATTAGTTAAAATCTTGAATTTGGTTTAGCATTGTTAATTGTTTTTTTTATCCTCTAATTGTTAAATAAATCTGAACAACAGTTTAACAAAGACCGATTATATTGATAGCACCTGGTACACTACTCTTGTTCAGCAGGAGCGCAAATTCAATCTTTAAAATCTAACTGGATTATCTATTTTGGAGGGATGATTTTGAGAATAGGATTGAAAAAAATTATTTCATGGACAATTGACAATCCAGGAGGATTTTAAAGATTGAATTTTCGTTCTTGCTGAACAATTACACACCATAAAAACGTGTTATATAAGTCTGAAATGAAGCATGAAAAATGTTGGTACAAAACTAAACTCACTCCTGTATGCCGATTTCACTAGCACCTGATCCAATCATGGTTCAGTCATGTGTTTGTTGTCTATTCTGAACCAATAAAAATAGTATGGCGGTAACATCTATCTTTCTATCTATCTCATTATCCAATTAGAGATAAATCCTTATATCGGCGCTACAACAGTAAAGGGAAATATTTACTTCTACTGAAACTATTGTAAACTCTCAGATTATCTACCATGTCTAGTCGTTATCTCTCTTTAATAAGATTTTTCTCTAGGTACTACTTTACTCCCAGGAAAGAATATGCTGAAGATTACGAGGAGGAAATCCAACCCAACCCTCCAGCACTCCGACCCAACCCGGAGCTAAAACGAACCCCGTCCTACCAGGATTATGATGAACCAACAATCTCTCATAGAAACTCGGACTAATCCAAAATCTGTTTTAAACCTAATTCTACCCATCATGTTTCCAAAAATAATGTCAATGCTACATTGAAAATGCTACTGAAACTTGAAAGTAAAGAAATAAAACAAACCAACATGACAAAAAAAAACACTTTTTGATCTTGCTCAACATAGCATTTTTAATAAGATTAATGTATTAAGTTGCTGCAGATATCATTTCACAATTTCTAAAATTTCTAAAATTTCTAAAATTTCTCTAAAATTTCTTTAAAATTTCTTGAATTTCTAAAATTCCTAAAATTTCTAAAATTTCTAATATTTCACAATTTCACAATTTCTAAAATTTCTAAAAAGCCATTTTCAGGAAAATGTAGAGAAATATAAGCCCATCATTTGTAAATTTGCCATAGCAAATAAAACATTACATTCAATCCTCTTAATATCATTTGAATAGTTCCTTCAATTCTCACTTAAAGATTTCAAATTAAGTGGTGTCTTGTTTATTTCCGAATAGTAGTCGATTTAAACTTGGAAAAGATTTGATTAAGATAGACAATAGACATGTACAAAATGCATTTAACAAATTTGATGGTGATATTTTTTGATATTTCAAACTTAAATTATCAGTTTGAAATATCTGAGGTCTAGAACATTGGGTTGCAAAAATATAGAGATGAGAAAATCAGAGTTTGTGGCAAGACTCAATTTTTTTACGACCTTTAATTTATAGGAGTTTTACATAAAACTGGAAAAATTTGAATTATTGTTTTAACACATTTTGCAAGATTTTGCCAAGTTCAAGGCAAGATAAATTAGGATTTTCCAACTGTTATTTAATTTAGTCGTCTGGATGTAGTCTGGAGCCAAATTTAATAGATAGTTAAAACAATTAGAGCTACAGTGATAACCAGATAACAATGGAATAGGAAGACGTCATTATAGCAATATTTAAGTGTATTTGATGATGTTACAAAGCAAATAGTTTTACCAGACACTTACTTATAAATCACTTATTTTGTGAAATTGGTCTTTTTACACTGCACAATTGCTGTGTTTCGTCGTCATTGTACTTTTTAAAGTTAAAAATTGATTCTAAAAGTCGTCTTACTATTCCAGAGTTTTCTGTTTATCACTGTAGTATTTAACAAAAGAAGCTAAATTGCATGTTCAACTTTTTCTACGTAGTTCAACTGCCTCTTTACTTTTCATCAAATCTATCATCTTCAAAAAATGTCTTATGTTTGAAACCCAACAAGAACCAACCTTTTTAGTTTGAGATTTTTTAAACTCAAAAGGTATTTTTCGTTTTGAGACAAGGACTTTTTTGTTTATGTAGTAAAATTTAAATACTAAAAACTTATTGTTCATCCTCATTTTTCCCCTTAAAATTCATTTAGTTATTTCGTTCTACAATAGGCCTTTCATTTTAATAAATATACTTATTTTAAAGACTAAAAAATGTATTTTTTAACTTTTTTCTAACTAAAAACAATTAGCTAGAAAGATTATATTTTTAAACATTTTATAAATTTTCGAGCAGTTGTATTTACATAGTTTCGCAGCTCCAGTGAATTGTAAGGCTGTCAATCCTGCTACCAGAGTTTCCTTAATAATGTTAATTTGTGAAAAAAAAACTGTTCAATTCATGATTATTAAAAGTTGGCGGCTTTTAATCGTAATTTTGAGTAATCCTTCAATTAACCCTAAACAGGCTGGGAGGCCTCTCATATAGGTTTTTTTTGTCATACCACTCTCATTTCTTTCACCATGACATTTTGAGACTTTAAATGAATAGAAATTCAAAGGATTTTTTGTAAAATAAACTTGTTTTCAATGCATAGGGTAGGGTACAGCCTACTGGGTAGTAAAAAGTCTGGTCTGTTTAAAAAAAAACTAAAATAGCTCATATCTTTTTGTGACTAAAGTTACAGATCTAAAAATTATACTTTGAAAAGCTCTTGAAAAATGGATGTAGAAACATGTGTCACACTATGATATAAAGACATAAAGACATAAAGACATAAAGACATAAAGACATAAAGACATAAAAACATAAAGACATAAAGACATAAAGACATAAAGACATAAAGACATAAAGACATAAAGACATAAAGACATAAGACATATTCTTGATCTGAAAATCCACGAAACTTTTTTTGTAAAATCCGCAAACTTTTTTTTTGGTTTTTTATAAAATGTGTTCAAAGAGAAAATGTTCACAATTGAATTAGAAAATGGGAGCGAGGCGTCCTAAAAACCTTGTTTCTATCAATAAAGGGTCACTTTACATGCCGTTAACATTTTGTTTTATGGGAGCGAGACTAAGTAAAAATGAATTTTAAAAAAATAATGTAAAATTGTGTTTACCTGAAAGGTACTCTAGGACACATCCAGGATGGGTAGATACCCAGGTACCCCCACCTTCATTATTATTATTATTATCATTATTATTATTACTATTATTATTATTATTATTATCATTATTATTATTGTTATTATTATTATTATTATTATTATTATTATTATTATTACTATTCACCTCCTCCTCCGAAAGGTCCACATATCTGACCTCCTAAAGTGATGAATTCGATCTCGTCTATTTCTGAGCCGGCACGACCCTTAGGTTAAAACTTATGAAAATGATGGAGACCGCGATTTATCTCAATTTGCATCGCTTGTGGTAATTAAAATAATTGAATTGAATTTATGAATTATAGTTTGAAAAATTAGGTGTTCACCACAAATTAAAGATGTGAAGTATAAACTTCAATATCTTCATTTAAAGATATAAATTAAATAAACATGTTTAAATCTTAAAGATTTTTAAACCTAAAAATTTAATTCCTTTATTTTGCGTGTGTTTTCTACCTGAACAATGAACACTTCATCTCCAGCATCCCACTCACAGGAGTGAGGACTACCTCCACCTCCACCATGCCAGTCACCGTATACATCTCCATACCGGATACGGAGAGCGTCTAATTTTGAACCCGTCCTAGATAAATAAACCGTATAGATCTCCATACCGGATACAGAGAGCATCTAATCCTGAACCCGCTCTAGATAAATAAACCGTATAGATCTCCATACCGGATACAGCGAGCATCTAATCTTGAATTCTTCTTAGATCAATAAACTTATACATCTCCATACCGGATACAGAGAGCATCTAATCTTGAATTATTCTTAGATCAATAAACTTATACATCTCCATACCGGATACGGAGAGAATCCAATTTAAAATCCATCCTATATAAAGATATCTGTTTATATCTCCATACCGGATACAGAGAGAATCCAATTTAAAATCCGTCCTATATAAAGATATTTGTTTATATCTCCATACCGGATACGGAGAGCGTCCAATCTTGAACCCGTCCTAGATAAAAATATGTCAATAAACTTATACATCTCCATACCGGATACGGAGAGAATCCAATTTAAAATCCATCCTATATAAAGATATCTGTTAATATCTCCGTGCCAGATACGGAGAGAATCTAATTTAATTTGTCCCATATAAAGATATCTGTTTATATCTCCATACCGGATACGGAGAGCGTCCAATCTTGAACCCGTCCTAGATAAAAATATGTTAACAACTCCGCAAAAGATATTGAGCACCTAATCTTGAACTCAGGTATACCTGATATCAAGAGTAGAAGTGCATCCAGGTATGCCTGATATCAAGGGTAGAAGTGTATCCAGGTATACATGATATCAAGAGTAGAATTGCATCCACGTATAACTGATATCAAGGGGTAGAAGTGTTTCCAGGTATACCTGACATCAAGAGTAGAAGTGTATCCAGGTTTACCTGATATCAAGAGTAGAAGTGTATCCAGGTATACCTGATATCAAGAGTAGAATCATATCCAGGTATACCTAACATCAAGAGCAGAAGGATGACCGTTAAGATGAACCTCTCCTCCATCTGTCCATCCTCCTCCACCATTCCCTCCAAAGGGTCCATCTTCAATTACTCCTCTGAAAATGGTTTTCAAAAATTTAAGAAATATTTTAATTTGTCATTTTTTTGTATCTTGAATGTTATTTTTAACTTCTTTTTTACATTAACATGCTTAAATATTTAATTCCAGTTTAAAAAAAACTTACAACATCTAAATATATACTTTGCTTGTCGATTTGTTTGTTTATATCTATTAAACGTCAAAACGGCTGAACCAATCGGGTACAAATTTTTTACGATACCTCATTTGACCCCAGGGAAGGTTTATGAATGATTGGTTTTTTTTTATTTGCTCCCATCAAAATTTGAATTTTGAAAATTTTGAAAATCTACGAAATTATTTTGATAAAATCCGCAAAATTTGTGTTTTGTTTTTGCTTTATTACAATCTTTACAAAGAGAACATGTTTACAATTGAAATAGAAGAAAAGCTTAGTAAAATTTAATATTAAATCGTATTTCCTTTTAAGTTGTAACACAAAATTTTTTTGTAAATTTTAATCTTTTAAATATGTTTTTTTTTAAATTTAATTTTCCTTCTCTTTCTTGTCATTTTCTAGAATTAGATTTCTCTCCTGTTGTGTTAGTATCTATAAACCTGAAGATTCCAAAACTTTTTCAATAAAAGTGTGCTACTCCC